ATTTTGAAAAATGAGATAGTATCCGCCCTAATTTGAACCTTTGTCTATATGATGGCGTTTAAAAATGTACTATATGCCAAACTGTTTTCCCATAAAGCGTCAGGAGCGAGAGCGCTGTATTCATCATTTTTCCAGTCCTATTGCCCACTCTTAATAATACAGACAGTTTCACATCCTCATTCATTGGTGGACGACCAGCATTTGCAACATGTTTCACGTGTCCAGTTTCTCTAAATTTCTTCTCAATTTTACTAACAGTGGATTGTGTGATAGGCGTATTAGGATATTTTATGGTAAATAAATTACATACTTCTTGTTGTGTTCTGGTTCTATCTCCATATCCAACCATAATTAATACTTCGATTCTTTGTGTTTCAGTTAATGGGGCCATTATTTATTTATTTCATGAAATAAACTAGTCCTTATGAGAAAATGTCAAGAACTGACTTACATTTGACCCAAGCCAACTCGATTTGTAAAAACTATACTTTTTGCTATCTTTTTAGTTCTCATTATTTATTTGCCTAATATCGGAATTTATTTTTGTTTCTTCATAGTAGTAGAAAGCACACCAGTTCTAAACATGTATTTATAAACTGTTTCAAGTGTTTCAATAGTAGACAAAATCAATGAGGATGATCCAGATCGCCGATAGACCACACATTTCCAAGATTTGACAAATAGCATTACATTGGAAATTCGTAATTCAACTCCAGAAATGATCCACAATGTTCAAGAAGAATGTATTCGTCCGTTCAATTACTGCCAAGAGGCAGGTGGGTGGCAATTTGAACATTTAATTTAAGCGAAAAGCAATTTTTATTTGTCAACTAATTTGTTTTTCTGTTTTCCGACAGTAGTACAATGTAATTTTGTATTAAATAAATGATAATACTTCTTTTTGTGACAATTAATTTCATTTACAAATTAAATATTTTTTTGGCCACCCTGTATAAATAATTATGTTAATGTTCATATCACTGCATAGAGAATTGAATAACCTTTCAAATGAGCTATCACACGACCCCTATTCCCATTTAAAAAAATCATCGATTACGTCATCACGCAAAGATGGATGACGTCACTAGTATGACATATCTGCCACAAAATCATAATTTGGAAATAAAAATCGACGTGTTTCGGGATTTGTCTCAAAAGTTGCCTATTCTCGTAAAAATGAATTTATTCCATAATATTGCCCCTCACTGTATATTGATAATAGCGAAAATAAAGAAACCAACGGTATACTGGAAATGTATCTTCTCCTGAAGGAAAACAAAATTGTAGACACACTTCCAAATGTAGAAATCGCATTGAGAATCCTTCAGGTTCCTTCTCCAAATTGAAAATAATTAAAAATGAATTGAGAACTACCATGCTTCAGAGATTAACCAGTTTGTCGCTAAAGTTCCTATATTGCGTATGCTTATAGTTATAAACATAGATATTGAAGAAATAAGTAAAGATCTTGCCCATCTCAAATCTAGAAGGCTAGAGTACCTCTTTAATCAATATTTCTATACACTAACCTGTGAATACTTCACTTTAGATTTGTGGATTATATAATATCATCAATAACTTTGCTTTTCCACTTTTTTGTCTAAGCTAACGAAAAAGTGCTCGGTAAAGATCATAATATAGGGGCTCCATTTTCATACTGTGCCCAGGACCCCAGTAGGTTAAAGACGGCCCTGCTACCTATGGCGACAAGGTGAAATAGCATAGATTATAAATTACTTTGTCTTGATGTCAAATGTGTAGGCAGATTGTCAGGTAGCCAGACTACTAAAAATGGAAATATAATCATTTCAAAAAACGTCGAATCCTATAAAAATGGTAGGTATTTAGCATACCTAGAGAGTAGTTGGGACTGATTAATCAGCACCATGCGTTTTGAAACCTAGATGACTTGACACAAAGACATTTTGCAACATATCACAGCCCACATAGATACATCATATACCCAAAGAATGACTAATATTTGATGAGGTAAAATATTGTTTGAATACCTGCTTCACAAAGGTAGATAGGTAATCTAGCTATGGGTAGGTAGATCCTCTCTGTTATCCTTTTTTAACGATAATAGGTTAATATGATATCGAATGACTAAGATTTCAGATATTTCCAAGAAAGGTTCATTTGGGTGTATAACATATAGGGGAATATATGTTCAATATCAATGATATACCACGATATACTATACCAAAGTGGAAACGTGTTTTGTAAATATAAAATAGAGTAGGTATAAAGAATTATGGTGGATGCACTTAGCACCGCCTCCAAAATTCTCAATCTTGATCAAAAATCTTGATCGCCCTGTAACGTTTTCAAATCTTGTTCGATTTCGATGAAATTTCGACCAAATCATAGATTCATATTTTGAGATGTTAGCCTGAATTTTAGTTATTAGACAAGGATAGCTTGATCATTATACAAAGAAAAGTAAAAGTTACTCTTATTCCACTCTTCATTTTTTAACGCCCTTATGACAAAAGTGGGTATGATTAAACTTAGTTTTCCTATGTTCTTGATTGAAGTGTGATCCATTCTTACACAATGGTTCTTGATTCACCTCAATTACTTCGTTTCAAGTGAAGTATGGGATTTCTTCAATTTCATATGATTTCATGAACAATAATTCAGATTATTTTCAAGATGAACTCCAGAAAAGTAAAGTGCAGTGCCATTACTATGTATATCATGTAAAAAATAGAAACACATAACATCAGCGTATATCAATTGAAAATTGTTAATTACCGACCGAATCTATCATGACTGTGAACTCGATAGGGATAGATCAAACGTAATCGATCTGAAAATGAATCAGATAGGCAATGAATATTCATTCTGTTTGCTAATGACAGGATGAACCACAGCAAACTATCCACTACGCTATAGGGTAGCAGTGCAAAGACCCATATGATGCGTCATTCAAACACTATCAGAAGTAAATTTTGAGTACGACAACCGCCGACAATTAATTTTTGACTTTGTTTTAATATTTTTCTGCATAATCAGACATATCTTAGCATACACGAGATGAAGAGATGATACAGAAACATGAAACATGCCAATATTCTGCCAATATTTAACTGTGATGGCATGTCAGACCCTGGATAACTTTCGGGTGATCCCATCATAAATTCACAGAAATCGGATCAGTACTTTTTCAGGAAATCGGAAATATCACTTGAAAAATGGCGAATGGAATAATCATAAGGTTTTTATGAAAATGGCGAAGTCCTAAAAATGCCAATGTGGCTTGCGAAACACCTCGAAAAAAACTAATGAATGCATAGGTGATGTTAGAGTCCTGAATTGATAAAACGTCTTCAGGCTCGATCCTTTTCTATTCTTTTTTATAATATATTGAGTATCGACAAGTCATTGAGTATCGACAAGTAATTGAATTATTATATATTATCATCATTATATGTAGAGATACTAAGCAAATGATATGACGTAGAAATATATGCATTGAAAAGTTTTGCTTTCTGAAATTCGTTCTGAAATCAACAGATAAGTGCGAACCGACCATTCTTATTCCCTATCTGCGTGATCTGATTATATAAGAATTCTCGATTTTTCGAGAAACAACCACATACTTTTTGGCTTTTTCTATAAAAATTAATTTTCGAATCGTATACAAAAATGGCATATTTTCGAATTCATTTTTTTTATTAGTGCTCGACCTACTCTTCAAAAATATGCCGAGAACCAACTCAATCCTATGACTATATAGTTTTCCAGATACAGGGTTTGAAGTTGAGTCCAATTTACCCGAACATCTATACAGGGTGTTTCTTAAGTACGTGTAGAAAATTCAGGAGCATGTTGCTGACGTCAAAATAAGAAGAAAAGTTTGTATGAATATATGTCCGAAAGTTATTCGTTTCTGAGATACAGTGTGTCAAAGTTGATTTCTTATTTTTGTTTTTCCTTAATAAATTTCAAAATAATTGTGATATTCGAATAAAGTTTGGTATCTACGGGTATTTTTCAATGACAATATCAAAGTTTATGTAAGTATGTCTCTTTCGTAGCACACTTTTGTGTAAAAGATATATTCTTGGTATAGGTCGATGTAGCAACTGTTTTCGAGTTATTATTTGAAATAATCGATGCATTTGAATTATTTCCATGAGGCTCGTAAAGATACGCCAGTGCATTTTTCTTCTTTCATTCAATATTCGCCTATATTCAACAATTCAACATTGGAATGTAGGCAAATGATGATTCTTACTTCTTTGTATCTACTTTTTTTGCCACTTTGCACAATTACTTTAATCAATTATCAATTCCTTCAACTAGATGTTTTAGTAAAAATTTAGTCTCAATTACTGCTATTATTATTATTAGTATTGAATTGTTATAACACCCGATTCCTATTTTGAAATGAAATTAAAAAAAATAATTCTCTTTAGTTGATTGATCAAAAATACCCCGAGAAGTCAGAATCGAATAACTTTCGGACATATATTTATACGAACTTTTCTTTTTTTTTTCACGTCAGCAATGTATTCCTGAATTTTCTACAAGAAACACCGTGTATAAACGGTATAAACCCTATTCTGTAGCAACTTCTCTACATTTTCCACCGTGTATGATTACGAAAACCTACGAAAAATCTCCGGTATGCCACTGTTTACCATAATAATAATTTATAATGTTATCACTAATTATTTATATAATTCTCACCTCGCTTGGCCAATACTGATTTCCCCATACGTTTATCATCGAGTCGTATGTAACGATGGTAATACATAGGTGGGAGTCATATTCATTTCTACCTGTATAAAACAACAGCCAGGCACAAAAAACACTCACGGGCATACTTCCGTCTCTCTCTGTCATGATGGGATGTATCGTTTCCGGTTTCATACGTAAGTCTTTGATCGAATCGACTGGTTCGGTAATTTTTATTTCGATGTATTTGTGTGTATTGTTAATTACTGCTTACCTTGGTGAAGTTGCGAATGATTTTTTCATGGTGATGATAGTTTTCGTGGGTGGTGTGCGGTTTTTCAGCGAGTAGTGATTTTGAAAAAAATAAAATGGTTGCGTCCATTTGCGAAAACGCAGTGAACGGTCCTAATAATAACAATAATAAATTTTGTTCAAATAAGGTAGGTTTGTACATCAGTAGAGATAGCGGTATATTTGTAATAACTATCATGTGTGTCAAATGAATGTACAATGAAGTTCTTTAATAATTTTGAAAAAGTTTATTTGATTCTAAGCTAGTTCAAAATTTGAAGTGAGGAAACAACCCATAGGTATAACATATAAATGTATAATGTAGTTTTGCAGAATTTTATGAATCTTTCATATTAAAATCTAGTTGTTCCTTCAAAACTTGCGAAAATGCGAACATTGGGGGTAGGTATAGAAGCGAATTCTATTTTTTGAGAGTTTGTGAAACATCGCATCCCACATGTCCAAATCGCGTCCAATTCATGTCGGAATATCCTTGAATGATTTTCTGATATCCATAGGATATCCTAAATTTACCCAGGCAGAGCCAGTTTTAAACATCAACGGGGGGAGGGGGAGGGGGTCGTAGGGTCATATAAACAAAAGTGTAAATTGGGAAATATATTAATCAAATTGATGGCAATTTAAATCTATGTATAATTCGTTATATTACTTTTTTTATCTCTTGGAGCGCACGAAAGGTAATTCCTATAATGTTTTTTTTTACTTTTGGAAGTTATAAGTTCTTGTTAAGTTATGGTAGAGTGTTGTTCGACATTTTTATCAAGGTTAACGACGATGGGATGTGCTGACTTTTCTACGGTGTTCTATAAATGGGGTTTAAGGCCGTCCATTGGATATCTATGAGATATCCTTTGGAAAATATTTAGATGTTCAAGGGACAACCAAAATATCCTGAATGGATATCCACCGGACACCCGTCGAATGTCCATGTGTTGTATGGGATGTATTATAACAGATGATTCAATTTTTGCTGCATTTTGTTCAGTCCGAATCACTTTTATTTCGTCTTTGAAAATTGAGTTATATCTACGATAAAACAATACCTATTGAAATCACCCCAACCATATTTTTTTTTACTTTTTGATATTCAATAAAAAAAATGTCTCCGAACAGTAATATTACATCAAGGTTAAGAAATATCTTTATACATATTGTCGTAAAGAAATATCTTGTCATACTAAGCATATTTATAGAAAATTATGCAATCGTTATTTATCGCAGAATGGTATTGATGATGATCGAAGTGGAATTGCAGAATTGTAATATTGTTTATAGCAAATATGTATATTGATGTAAACAACTGATAAAGGTCTACCTACCTGCCAACCTGTATTATTCGTCGAAAAATTAATGATTATATTTACTGATTATGCTATTGCGATGTTCACTTTTATGTCGAGTATAAAATGCGTATTTACTCAGGCACAATTAATTTTTCATGATTTTCAAAATTATCACATAGGTATAATTTTCAATTATGGTAATCTCATCGAAATACAAAAATAAAACACTGTAATGATGAATCAGAAAGTTTATAAAGTGTAGTTGACCGTTACTTCATAAAAAATATCATTCTGACTTTTTTCCATGTAGCACCACAACTAACCCTCTATCTTCTTGATATTTCTTGAGATTTATCACCTGAGGAAAATGAATAGTTTCGGACATTTCGACACGCAGTTATTTTGAGAATATTAATATCATATTTTAGACCACAAGAGTATGAAAATTTGGAGACATCTATTTTGCCACATTCATTGAGCCCATGAAATTCAAAAAATCGGCGAATGTGGCAACAATGGCTACGTCATATATATCCCTTCTTTCTTTTTGTAATTTTTGTCAATATGTTCCCATATTTGGAGTGCAGCACCCAAACATACCCTGAAACTTTTGGATTCTGTCCAAAAAAGGGCAATTCGTCTCGTGGGTGATGCCTCGCTCACAAACTCATTCACTTCTCTAGAACACCGTATAAAAGTTGACAATTCGGCTCTATTTTATAGATATTTTCATGCACGATGCTCTTCTGAAATATCAACAATTGTTCCTCCCTTTGGCAGTCCCCGCGAGATTAACCCGTCGAGTTGAGGCTTCGCACCCCTTCGTGGTCACTTTGGAGACCTGCAGAACATCTCTCTCCAAAGACTCGTCCATCCAACGAACAGCAAGGCTCTGAAACACATTGCCATCAAGGGAGGTGTTCCTCGAGGCATATAACCTCCAGAAATTTAATAAGAACACCAATTCCTACCTTATTTCACTTGGTTCTCACGATGTTCTCTGAACATTGCAAGATATCCCTTTTCGTGGGAATCAGAACATAAAAAAAAATGTCTCGCTAATAAATTTTGTGGAGACGACTTCGAGACTTTTCTTTCGTAATCATTCCACTCCACTTCAAGTATGGATTACTCCAGAAGATTTTTGTAAACATTTCTGTTTTTTTATAGGATCAGATCCGCAAGCGCAAAGAAGAAGAAGACCGTCTAGCGGCGCAGAACGAGTTCCTGAACAGATCCTTGCGGGGCTCCAAGAAACTCCAGGCCCTCGAAAGCGGTCCACTAGGAGTCGCGAACGATGCCTTCGAAGAAGAAGCCCTTCGGGATGCTGCAGCAGCCACTCCTACGGAAAAGACAGAAAAAGAGCTGGTCCACGTCAGTTACGGTTAGTGATGTTTCGGTCATCAGTAGTTGCACTCGGTTTGTAGATGAACAAAATTATGTGTGGCTGCATGTGCTACAGAATACATTGAGTGCTTGTCATTTTTATCGATATCTATTGGTTCAAGATGAAAGTAGACACGGGAGTTTATCAACTTAACAAGCAATCGCCACCTCTATGGTAATACGAGTTTAACATACAGTGCTTTCGTAAAGTAGGTACTGAATAAATTCATTTTTCTACAAACGCTTAACAAAGTTGCCTTTGACGCTTTCAAATTCTAGCACAAAGTTGACGTTTTCCCAGAAATGTCATTCTTTGACAGCATTTGCGCTCGTGAGCGGAAATATTGAAAAAACGCTCGCACATCTCTGTAACCTATTTTATTTTTATTTTTTTATTTGTTCTATCCGTCATTCGGTTGCCCCCTTACGAGCAACCCTCAAAAGTCTTCGAAAGTCTTGTGCGAGCAAGGAATGACGGGGGCCTTACCTTTTAACGTGTGATCCCAAACACTTTCTTGGGCCATCAGAAAAATTTCTGCAGTCGACGGGGATCGAACCCACGACCGACAAGCGAATGCGAATTAGAATATAGACACTCTGTCCGCACGGCTACCTGGCCAACCTATACTTATATCTATTCTTGAAAATCCCCAATTCTCTCATGATGGCAAATAGTGACAGTGAATCATCAAACACATCTCCTTCCTGATGATATAGCAAAAAGCGCAAGAGTTTGAATCTCTTATACCGGAGAAATCAAGGAAGAAATATAAATTACAATATGATACATTCATAAATTGGTGCCACTCCGAGATGGTGAATATGTATTAGAAAACGTTTTACTGGCTTATTTTGGTAAAAAATCAAAGACTTTGAAGTCATCAACTCATTGCTCTATATATTCGATGGTACGTAGAAATGCTTGAATGTTAAAGATATCGGAATCAATAAGTATCGCATTTCTCAAGAAACAATCTATTGGATATAAAGCGAGACAAATCCAAAACATTCACCGCTGAAGATATATACCAACAAATTTCTACAAGAAGCTCCCGATGAAGAATATCTGTTGAAAACGATGAATTATACTTTATATTTAATCTCTTTGTTGTCATCAGAAAGACAGTGTATCTTTATTTTATTGCATCAATGGGTAATGTTCAATTTGGTTACAGAGTTTATCGTACTATGGCTCAGAGGTCTGAAGCTCAGGTTGCCACGCTGGTGGTCCAGTTTCAATTCTCGGTAGGCCCGACTTTTTTTTTCTGGCTTGTCAGTTATTTCAAATTTTCTCTTTTTGTTTCCTTTGGACATATGAGATAATATGGATGAGAACTTTTTCAACTATTTCAATCGCTCATACTTCCAGCGTAGTTATTTCCAAAAGCTGCGTTAGTAGAAAAAATCTTGTGTTTATTTCGATCACAAAGTGTTATTGCCGCTCTCCAAAGATGTCCGCGCTCCGCTCCGCATCGCGCGGTAACTTTCTGTGTCGAGCGGCAATCTATCACTTTGCGCTCTAAATACACAAATAGCTATTTTAGCCAAACTATCCATTTCTGAGGAATCTCCTGAAAGAGATCGATTTCTATTCTCAATTTGCAACATTTATTAGTAAAAATCAGATATACAGGGTGATCTACGTTTGAGTTAAGACTTCCGCGACAATTTTTTTTAAGGAACACCCTATATATTCCTCAATTTTTGAAATATTCATGGAAAGCTGAATCGAAAAATGTATGAAAAGGAAGAATGAAAGCTTAAATTCATCTCTACTACTTTATTACTGATGTAAATCAATTAAGGGGGCGTGTTCCGGACTTATAAAAGTCCATCTTCAACCGTATTTAGAAGTTGATGGAGGTGAAATAGTATTTTTGAGAATAGATGCCGATGTCTATCATCATAATATCATGGTTATATTGGTGAAAAAACAAGTGATTTTCCTGAAAATATACGTTCTAGGAAGAAGGGTCATTTATGCCAAGTTAGGTTAGATAGTTCAGAAAAGGTAGTTCCTTATTCTTTGTGCTGGAAAAATATGTTTCTTCCTTATATTACGTCATTTGGGTCAATCGAGATTTGAGCCAATCGAAATTTGGGCCAATCGAAATTTGGGTGAATCGAGAATTGGGCGAATCGAATTTTGGGAGAATTGAACTACATATGTACCATACATACATATTATGTGTACCAATGTACCTAATTTTTCTTGCCATTCGTACCTCGATTCGTACCGTTTGGTTACAAACTCGGGTTGAAGACGGATTTAAGTTAGCGTATTATTTTGCGGAGCAGACGATTATTCACAACTGCAACCCAATACACCACATTAGAAACACCAAGTACATACAAACTATAAAACATAATTCTGAACTCCACAAAGTGACCAACATTTTTAGAGTACCCAGTACCGACACTGAGGCTGTTGTTGATACAGGAAACCTTTTCCTTCTTGTGTCATTGTATGGCTATCCAACATCCATCTCGGATAAACCGTTAGCATACATTAACGAATGAGGTACAACATGACATCTCTTCCTCAAAGTAAAGCAGTTGCTCATCATTATCATTCAAGGGTTTACCAACACCATCACATACAATACTGGCTTGGGAATAGAATGAGAACGGAAGATTGGGGTTGGGAGATAACCGACACCTGATCCTATCTTGTACACTCGTCTTCAGTTAACATGTCGCGGTTGGACGGTATATAGATTTGTGTGTGTATTTAGATCTATGAACGGTATGAGCGCTCTTACTGCAGCGGTCATTAAGAGAGCTGACACCGTCATGTTCTCTGAAGACGACTGTACAAGGTATCCTGCAAATTGAAGAAAGATGGCCGAGCTCTTCTGTTCAATATTGGGCTTCCATTGTTGACTCCTGATGTGATAATTTCAAAACGCCAGTTTGGTGATGGTGACCTACCTGATGATTTGCTTGAGGCAGCAATATCTTCGTATGTCGATTTTGAGACACCGATGATATGCTAGAATATATTGCACCCCCTAGATTTGGACCATATTTCATGATATTTGACCATCAACATCAATGATCACCACGTTTTCAATATGTTTTCATCATGCGTGATTAGAAACTACTTATTTGAATATTTATATTGATTTGTTATTGATATTCAATTGTGGCTATTTTTCGAAAAATTCCCGATGAGCAATAGGGGAAAATATTGATCCCCATTCTATATGATGAAGTGCCAAAATCAGCCATATATTGGATCATTTTGAAATGGAAAGTCCAATATCGAGAGTATTGCATTCGTTACTTTCAAGTTATTTTATACTGCTTTTGAAGACAGAATTGTTATCAACTGGGGCAGATGAAATGAATTGATAGGTACAGGTACACCGACACAATGGCTTCTTATCGGTTGAGCCGCGCTAACAATTATGTCAAAATATTCAAAAAACTTCAAATGCGCCAATATGGTACGTTTGATGGTTTGACCAAGAAAATATCCATACTCGAATTATTGAAAGTTTTTTTCTGATCATTTTAGCACCGAACAATATTTCACACAAATTCATAGTTTTTGAGTTATAGGCGAAACAATAACAACAGAAGTAAACATACTTTTTATGTTTTTGGGATATATAATATATCTAATTCCAGGCAATATTTTTGATCGCCAACTTCAGTTTCGCGATAAGCATCCTAGAGAATCTACTATTCGTGGGAATCAATGTTACCAGGTGGCGCTCGGTTTTCATCGTTCCATGTCAAAGCCACGTCAAAACTGGGGAAAAACAAACTCAATCCTCACTCAATCCCATAAAAGTGCCATTAGCTTGTGTACTGTGTACTGAGTACTGATAAGAGTGATAACACCTTATGTCATTGACAAGTTTGACAACTACAGCTACAGCAAGATGTATGCAATGTAGTCTATGCACTTTATCCATAGACAACAGTTGGTTTTCCCCCAGTTTGAAGTTCGTTTTATGTAACCTAGATGTCACCCACTTCGTGAATCTTGCGAACGCCGATCCCTCTTTTTCTAGTTGAACGGAACTAAATATTCAAAAACATCTTTCAAGTTACTTCGATGAAAAATTGAATTACAATTGAACTGGTAGGAAATGGTTCTTTTAACTAAGATAAACGAAAATGCGTAGCAGTATTAATATCGTCTTTCCAATTACAAATCATTATTTAGATTCAAAATATCCTCCGTTGTTAGCTGAAAGAAAAAAAACTCCACATTTCTCATTATTATTAATTGGAATGTATTGTTCCATTCTGAGAATTTCCTTTTTACTATTGCGCTTTCCTGCGAATTCCCAGTCGGTTTTCCGACTTCCATAACAAAAGTAATGCTGTAATTCATTTATTTCGAACACAAGTGATTAGCGTTCCATCGATGCATCTTTATAATACGTCCGGGCAAATAATAGTCCTCAACTTATTTTCATCTTCCATCTTCGCCTTCATTATGCGTGGGCGACAAGCAGAAAATGCCTCGTGGAATTTCAATGATGATTTTATTGAACAGAACATCCTCGCTGCCCTTTCAAGTTTTTTTTTATTCAGTATTTCTTCGTCTTTTTCTTGAACTATGCGAATGCATTGATGACCAATTATACTGATACCCCTGTTGCTACCATGGCAGGTATATTGAAGTATAAGTTCTCGAAATGAATATAGACTGTGATCATGGATACTAGTATTATCATAACAAAGAATGGGAATAAATGGTTGTATTCGTGCGATGTGTCATCAGTATACCTTTGTTGTCATGGTACCTACTCCTGTCAGATCCATAATTATTATTAAAAGGTCAACATTTAGACTTCCTGTTTTCCGGGCCGTTGATGTTGCCGTGGTGATTGTAAGAAAGCGTGTTCTTGAAATTTGGATTTGAACACGCAGAGAAGTTCTTCAAATGGGCAGAATAGCGTACCAATAAGAAAATGGTACATTAAAGTATAAGTTGATATTATGGTCTTTCAACCTAGAATAACTGGGTGCTAACAACAGAGTAACTCTGCTGTGGGTGCCTGGACACCAGGGGGTGGAGGGAAACGAGAAAGGCGACATCTTTGCCAGACAGGGAACCGAATCTGTTCATAGGACCAGAACCATACTCTGGGCCTTGGGGTCTCCGCAAGTGCGGCCAAAACAACTATCTCGGACTGGGCGGAGGGGAAAAGACTCACGCACTGGTGAGAATTACCAGGATTAAGCCATTCGAAGGCGTTCCTGCCTAAACCAACGAAAGAAAATACCAGGCAGACCCTAGAATGGGCAGGGGTAACCTGCGAATTTTGACAGGACTGCTTACGGTTACGGGACACTGTCGTCTAGGACACCACCTAGGAAGAATGGGTCTGACTGAACCAACAAGTGGTCTGTCGGTTCTGCTGTATGGAAGACGAAAGGATTGAACAGATACTATGTTCATGCTCTTGCTTAGAGCACCAGCTTTTTCTACAATTGCACACCCTGGAACAATACTGCGGGAGTGAAAAATACATACGTTATTTCCATGGTGATTTGTTTAAAAAAACCAATCGAATTGATTGAAAATTACTGGTATGACAGTATGTAAGCATGTGCAATTTCGGTTATATTTTTCATTCAAACTCATCTGGATCAATCTATTCACATATTATAGGCTGTCGATATTATATTAGCCATTGTGTTCTAGCGTACATAATATTTCAATTTCCATTTTCCAGAGCTGTCATACAATTTACAAAATATTTTCGCGCCCAACTTCAATTTCATGTCATCGAATTTTATTCCAAAATTTGTACGTTTACAGCATATTCTATGAATCTATATCACACCAAAGCTGAATGAATTTGTATTCATTAGTGTATGAATACGATAGATCAACTAAAATTCAGCTCCCAACCTTATAAACAATTAATATAGCGGCCATCGTTTGATGTTTGTGAATGCATTTGTTGAATGTTACCTGGTTGAGCAGCATCCTATATTTATTTAGTTATTTACCATTTTGTTTATCGCTTGGAGCGCGTGAAAGGAAATCCCTATAATGTTCGAAGAACATCGTGCGTTCCTAGGAATAATAGGGGCAGGAGGTAGGTATTGGAATTTTTTTTTGAACTTCTGGAGATTATAATATGTTGTTGGGATTACTCTTCCTCAGGCAATGATTTTCAGAGCCTAGCCCAGAATACTACAAAGGAAGTTAAGATTAACTAATCCTAGACATTATAGTATCTTTCGAGATTTTTTTATCTCTTAGTGCGCACGAAGGGAAATCCCTATTCCCATACTCATCCCGCTCATTTTTCCAGCTTACGGTGACCTGGTGGCCTCGGTGCAGCGGTTGCAGCTGCAGCTGAAGAAGGCCGTGTCGGGGGGCGGGCTGGGCGGACTCGAGGGCCGTATCGCCGCCGTTCAGTCCCTCCTCCTGTCGCCTCATTTCGGGCGGGCGCTGGCCGTACACAACAAGGTGCAGGCGGTACGAAGGCGGGCAGCGGTGCGACCCGCCCCTGTTGCCCAGGCCGCCCTCAGGGAGTGTCTCGACGCGGTCGGGGGCGGGCAGAGCGCCTACGCCGTCGAGCTGGCCGCCCTTTTGACAGGTGAGAGCGGAATGATTTTTTCTGTAAGAGGCATCATTTCGCCATATAATGAAACGAATAGGAACACATATTCCATCAAGGCATGTAACAAAACAGACTAGAGGATTGGTGATGAAATTTTTCAGAGACGTACTTGGATTGAAACTCAGATATGCCTACCGTCCTTCTATAAGGACACTGCGTGAAAAGTTTTCTACTGCGTAATTTGGGTATCTTCGCAGGATTTCTCATAAATGGCACCACGTATCAAATGAAAGAACATTGCTTATAGATTCTATATGGTTGGGTGGGCAAATATGACTGGAATATTCTGATTATTGAAATATATGGCAATTATGTCTCAATTATTATTGTGAACCAGTTACAAATGAGGAATTGAGCGATGAAGATACAGTGGACATTATAGTATACTGTTTAGCAACCTCATGATATTTTTTCATGAAACGGAAATGAGGGTTTATTGACATATCGAGTTGCGCTATGTGGTAAGAAATGGTACATTTTTCATATATTTCCCATGCTATAGATATGTATGAAAACAATTCGTGGCAATTACATAAGATACAAGGCGGTTCCCTTGATCATTTATCTTTTCGAAAAAGAGTAGTGATTCCAATTTTGAAAGGCAACCAGAGAAAATATTCCAAACGTTCAAAAACCTCTATCTTCATCAGAAAACGCAGATTTCCGTTACGATCATTTGGTCGTAACACAGGAGAAGAAAACGTACCGACATTGCCATAAAAACGTTTGCACCAAATGTCAGAGACTAGAACCATATTCTTCATTTGATTTTATGTTCAGAATGGTGTTTATGTCCTTTTATTTTATATTTAGAATAATGATGTGATAGACGCACTTTGTTCTAGGAAATGTCACTCATTTGCCTACTCTCTTTTAGAAAGGACAACGTCTTTTTGAAAACTCCAGCAGTCACATTCTTTTTGTAACTCATTTTTGAATAATGAACTAGTTTTACACAATGATAATCTGAATTTGAAACAAAATATTTAAGGCACATCTGGTTTCAACACAGTCTATTTTGTTACTACTTGATGCCCTACGTTGGGCGCCAAGTTGTAACAAAACAGATTGGACATTGGAGATTATAAAACATCTCAGGGACGTAGTCTATTTTGTTACAGTAAATGAGGGTTGACTACTAGAGTCGAACGAGTTTCTCGAACGAATCTCTACGAAATGTCTATGAAAATAATGAATGATTAGCTCAAAGGAAATCTAGGAAGTCAATGATGTAGGTATTTCAAAACCAGGGCCAGTACCCTCTGACCCTCCACTGTTTTTCAGAATCAGCGCCAGTGACTTCACAGCTACTTTTTCCAAAAAGGTCAAATAGTCATGCATTTCTAATTATTCACTCGCTCAGCAAATCCATCAAGTTGGTCGTATGAAATTGAATGGATTCTTGCTATGATTTACAGATCTATTAAAATAAACATGTCATTGCTTGATTTCTATGATGATGTTTCCTTCTAGGTTACGAATTCGAAGCACTCATGGTAGCCCACGACGGAGTGACGTCTATCTTGCCAGAGGATTCAACCTCACCTACACCGTCTACATCGGAATCCGTACCACAGTCGATAACGGATCACAGGTACGGTGAGGATAACATCAAGATAATCAAAATCGAGAAGAGCACTGAGCCGTTAGGCGCGACTGTCAAAAACGAAGGAGATGCTGTAATCGTAGGTAAATATTCAAGTATCTGTGAATTGAGTTCTTCAGGAATACACTTGCATTGATTTCAACACTTCTACAACGAAAATTACCACGCGTAGGTATACAGTTACCTAAGCTACCCCCTTCCATTAAGTCACGCCTTATTTATATCGAAAACGCCTAACAGGCGGGGCCTAGAGATAAAGGGTGGGGCGGTAGGGCATTGTGTTATAATCGATCACCTACTGTGTGTGTTGAATTCAACAAATTAACTTCAACAATTCATTCATCCGTTCATTCATTGTAAATAATATGGACTGTCAAAACTATCTTGGATCTCACATTGTAACTGTAACTGAAATGAAATGAATTCATTTTCTAGAAACCGGAAATCTTTTCACGTCAACTTCTGTTTCAAAAGCTCATATTTCGACATACTGACACAGCCAGTCCTATTTTGTGAATGTGTATGGGCGTGGCTCAATAAACGTGGACCTGTGAAATGTAGGTATGGGGTCGCTTTAGACGCCCCGCCCCCAATTCATACTAGCCACGCCCAATTCTTGATCAAATTTTGAGTAACAAGATGATATTGTGATTGTTTTGTGTGGCAGGAAGGGTGATAAGAGGTGGAGCGGCCGAAAAGAGCGGCCTACTTCACGAGGGCGATGAAATTCTGGAAGTGAACGGGATAGAGATGCGCGGCAAGAGCATCAACACTGTCTGTGATATGTTACAAACGATGGAGGGCACCCTAACTTTTCTTATTGTGCCTGCGTCTCAGGTGAGCCAATTATGGGTAATTGAAAAAATAAAAACTGAGTCGGTCGACCACAAAATTATATTAAAGGTGTTGCTGTATAGTTTGCCTGAATGCCATCATCAGACATTAATAAGTATCTAACACAATGCAGATCTCAAGAAAGACAAATTATAACCGAAAAAGACATGAGCAAAAGTGAGGTTGAAGAATGAAATATTCATTTATTTTGTCGTCAACTCAGATCAGTCCTTATTAAAAGTTGAATTTCTGAATCGGCTGATTATTCAAAAGAACTATGAAATAAATGAGTTCCACATTGGTAACAGTGAAAAGTGAATTATAAATTCACTGACAAACGAGCTTCATCGTCCAATAAGTCAAATGATGGAAAACATTGAAATATGTACTATGACAATGTCAGCAATGTGATTTCAACAGATTCTCAAAATGGTACAAAGATACGGTGACGTTGACATAATTCAATTATTATATATTATGAAGAAAAGATTCACAAACCTTACTATAACATTGTCTCGTCGACCGACTTAAGAGTTTTTGTTTTTTCTTCTAAAATTTACTGGGCGACTCTGAGAATGGATGGTTTCTATGATTGGATGATGGATAATTATTAAATAAGCAAAAATGAACCGCATCAATTGAATAAAGAAATGTCAATAATGAATCAATGAATATAATCATTATTATAGGTGGAAAATGGAAAAATTCGAACCCTCGGCATATCCTGATAATAATAATACTAATAATAATAATAATGCCATTTCGGGTTTGATCACATTACAAGCCAATATGACGGACTTCCGGTTTTTCTGCAAATTCCAGCAACATTGTTTTTTCAAATGGGAACCACCTGTTTATTTTTACATATTCAAGTTCAACAGGTCAAAACAATATTTATTCAAATGTCATTTCTCCGAGAAAATTCAAATTATTCTAACTCATTCATTAACTATTCAAATTACCCACTACACATAAAACAGTTTCAATCTTCTCCTAAAGCTACTAACATAGTTAGCGAAACACGTGTCGAGGTGTAAAAAATCGGTTTGGTTAGTGGTAAAACAGTGTGTAGTTAATTATCGTGCCAAAGATTCCAAGTCTTCGATATATGTAACTGCACCGAAATAAAAACATTTTATGTCAATTTTTTCCTCAATATCTGTTCTAGAGAGACATAATTATAGAGGGGTTCCATTTGAAAAAATAAATTCTTAATCAAAATGAATAACTCAAAAATGACTGGAGCTAGTCTAGTTTCTTAACGAATCAAGATTGAATTTGCTGAAACTTTCGTAATTTGACCGACTCTCTATCATCTCATAGTTACCGAGATCCCAATGGTGATGATATAATTTGGGACGCACTGCATGTAGATTTTTCCGATGTAGTGCCAAATGAATGGCTATCATCCGTTGAGTTCGTTTTCCGTGACCTACTCAATCTTTTTTACTCTCTTTGTCGAGCAACAATCTATCACTTTGCGTTCTAAATTCACTAAAAGCTTTCATGTGGTGATGTAGGTCAGGCCTCATAGTATTCGAGACAGCTTCCTGCATGTCAGGGCACACTTTGACTACGACCCCGAGGAGGATATGTACATTCCGTGCAGGGAGTTGGGGATAGGGTTTCAAAAGGGGGACGTTTTGCATATCATTAGCCAGGAGGACCCCAACTGGTGGCAGGCGTACAGGGAGGGGGAGGAAGACCAGACTCTTGCAGGTAAGAAAAACTTGATTCAAATTGAAACTAATATGTTAGGTTAGGTTAATTGTTATGGCCTATTGTGGCTCACCCTATGGTTATATTTCTCCCAGTAAATCTAATCTCTTCGCAAAATTGAGGAGTACGTTGGGAGAACAATGTATCAGGTTTTCTGACCCTACTGTTGTATTGCCGAATGTTCAAAATATGATTCTGGCCGCTGCATGGCATGTACAGTGTGTCCAGTTTTCGATGCTTTTGCATGATATCTCAGTTATCTTTGGAGATAGAACCTTGCGGTTTTCGCGGTCCTGTGCCACTTTTTTGTGAAACTCAAGATGGCCTCATCAGATTTTGCAGGACTGTTTCCGTTTATGAGATACAAGGCGATTTTGAAAATTTATACTTTTTGGACCCCCTCCCAGTCAACACACGGACATTCGATGGACATCCATCGGACGTCCATTTAGGATATTTGGGATATCCAGAGAATATCCAGTGATATCCGATGTATATCTTATGGACGTCCAATGGACGTGCCGAGTGGAAGGAGTTGGACTTCTATAGGATATCCTTCAGGGACATCCATAAGACATTTTTCAGGGATATCCATAAGATATTGTTCACAAATATCCATAAGACATTTTTCAGGGATATCCATAAGATATTGTTCACAAATATCCATGAGATATTTTTCAGGGATATTTATTAAATATCCTTAACAATATAGAACACCATGTATATTATTCCATAATGAATCAGGAAATATTATAACGAATTCAACGGTACCGGATTGGATATGGTTATTTCAAACGATTACGAAGATATGGCATTCGAAGTTTTCATATGCTCATTGAGGATATGGAAATGTGAATATCTTTCTAATCGTTTGTAGAAATCCTATCAAACACAGTATCGTTGAATTCGTTATGATAATCCTTAACCGATTATGGAATAAAATACAGGGTGTCCCGTTTGAAAATGCCATCCTCGGTTAAACCAAAAGTGCGGTAAAGCAAGTAGATATGTCGAATAATATAAAATGAACTATAATTCATGACGCCAATTGACGTTTTACTACCTACAATAATGAAAAAGTTATAGGAGTGAACCACCTTAAGCTTTATTAGCTCATACCTCATGAAAGAATTCAATTTACCATGACTTTCGACATGGATGCATTTTTAGACCAATCAGAACGATTCGAGCTATGGAGGTTAATTCGAATTGAATTCAATCTTTTGAGAGATAAATAGAGGAGGCGAGGTGGCCGGATTTGAATCGCGTTATCCCTAGCGCAACAATGAAGCTATTTTCCGAAATGCTGTTAAGGTGAATTCAAGAATTAGATTCACTTAGATTTTTCCATCTTTCTTTTGGAAAATTTGTCATTCACGCGAATGCCATATTGATTTATATTTTATTGCTTCAGAATATTTTACTATCCATTGGGAAAATACCTACCCAGTTTGGAATTCAGGGATGCGAATATATCTTCTTATGGATCTCCATCTCAATCCCAAGGAAAAAAATGGAGATACAAAGTTATTTCTGAAAAATCATATTTTTGTGCGAAAATGTTGAAGAACAAAAGTTATTTTGACATAAATATGATTTTATGTTTTCTTTGGATATCTTATGGCTATCCATAAGATATCTTCTGATGGATATCCGCTATAAATCCATGGATGAATATCTCATGGATGTCCATCTGAAGACCACAAAAAAGTAAATATATGAGAGCTATTTTCGAGTGATTGTATATTTTTGTACGAAAACATTGAACAACAGAGAAAAATTCCAAACTGTGGTGTTGTTATTTATATGAATTCATATTTGCATCGGATATCTTAATTGTGGCTATAAACATATTATACCTACATAACAATAGTTATATGATGGAAAACTACCTTTGAATTTCTAATGAACATGTGATTTGCATGTGATATTTGTGATGATTCGTATTGTTTTGAACCATTCTCAATTAACAATTTTTGTTCGCTAAACGAACATCTTATGGACGTCCATAGGTGATCCGCATCAGAATATCCATTTGATATCCTCTGACGGATATCCTATGGATATCCATTTCATGTCCCAGGATATCCCGACCTGAAATGGACTTGAGAAGGATATCCATAGGATATCCTGTGTTATCTGGGCTCTATATCTGCGAAGTTTATCAGCGAAAATGTCAAATGAAAATCTTAATCCATAGAGAATTTTATGCAGAATCCAGTGGCGCACAAACATTTTTTTTTCGGGGTGTGGTTTTGAAAATACGACTCGAACTTATGATTTTTTAAATTGAACACCCTGTATTTTATAGGCTCATTAAATTCCTTATTTTTTCCCTTCGAAATGATATATGATGTATGAATATAACATCTTCAAAAATGTTAAAAAAAAATCACTAAAACATTGAATTTCAATAGTGGGCTATGGGTTTTTCGAGGGATTTTAATATAAAGAAATTTACAATTGAAGGAATATTTCCTTTGATTGTTCCATGAAGGGGGAATTAACAATTTCAACACTAATTAACTTACAATACACAAGACTTAGATACCTGATATCCACAAATATATAGTATTGAAAAGTTTATAATGTAGAATAAGCACCTGATTGAATATTTACTAAAACAATTTCGAAATTATTCAGTGATTTATTCATTGAATTGTTCAAAGTGATGTCCATTTTTCATCACTAACTTTCTCAATACATATTAATCATTGAAAGATGTCTTTGTAATTCCTGGAAAACTGTCGCTGTTGTTGTACAAAGTTCTTCAAGTATGTTGGGCCACTCACTGTATTAAGAAGTATTGAGAAAGTTTGTCAACTGTATGTTGGGGAAAATGGATATCAATTTGAACATGTCAATAAGAAGTTACTGTATAATTCCGCAATTCAATTATTTTAGTAAATATTTAATGAGGTGCATATTCTACATTATGAACTTTTTATTGCTATTTATTTGTTGCTATCAGGTACCCAAGTTTGGGAAAAATTTAAAGGAATATTTCTTCTATTGGAACGTGTTTCATAAGAAAAATCCATAACCAACTATCAAAATTCAATATTTTAATGATTTTGAGCAATTTTGAAAATTTTTTATTCATTCGTTATACATCATTTTGAAGACAAAAAAATAAGGAATTTAATGAGCTTATGAAATACAGGGTGTTCCATTTGAAAAATCATAAGTTTGAGTCGTATCTCCAAAACCATACCCCGAAAAAAAAATTTAAGTGCGCCACTGGATTATGCGTGAAATTCTCTATGCGATAAGATTTTGATTCGACATTTGTGTTGAAAAACTTCGTGGATATAGGGGGGGTCCAAAAATTATAAATTTTCAAAATCGCCCTGTATCTCATAAACGCAAACAGTCTTGCAAAATCAGATTAGGCCATCTTGAGTTTCACAAAAAGTGACACAGGACCGCGAAAACCGCAAGGTTCTATCTCCAAAGATAACTGAGATATCAGGCAAAAGCATCGAAAACTGGACACACTGTACATAGAATGTGTTTAGCCGTTTCATCCTCCTCCATGCAAAGACGGCACTCTGCATCTTGTGCAATGAGTCCGATTTTGTGCATGGGGTGTTTGAGTTTGCAGTGGCCAGTGAGCAACCTTCTATAACTCTGCTCTACTGAGTTCTAGTAATTTGTCAGAGTCCTGTTTGTTCCTTGAACAAGCAATGACTGCTTTGGAATGTGCTAGGCCCGGTAGACTACACCAATACTCGAGTCTTTTGTTGTCAGCCCAGGATGTTATAACATTCTTGGCTGTGCTATGTAATTCCAAGTAAGTAATTCATTTATTTATTTATTGAACAAATAACTTCCAGACAGAATAGGCTCTGGTATAAGGAAGTACATAATTATATACCTATAGGTAAACATATCATTATACAAAATATATCAACAACTGTAAATTGACAAACAAAGAAAGAATAATATTTGTAAAAAAATATAAAAAAATGGCATGTTCAATTTTATCCAGTTCACTCAGCAATAATCAATTTTTTCACTTCACTTTTGAATGAACCTATGTTTCTGCAATTTTTTATATTGTCAGGTAGTTTATTGAACTCAGTTAAGGCTGAATGAGTGAATCTTTTTTGTCCGATAATGGAGCTAGGACGTCCGCTATTTCGTTCCCTTCTAGGCCAGTGATGCTAAATTCAATAAATCTTAAGGTTCATTTGATTTTAAATGACAGGTAGAGATTTTTTCCCAATGTAGGGAATTTTCATAGGTCTGTGTAGGAAAAACGTATTTGAAAGGTTGGCATCACTGTTCTAGGTCCGTGTGACCCGGTATCCAGACTAGGTTAACGCTATTGCGTTGTGCCAGTCGGTTTAAGGTTTCTCTGCAGTTCCATACTGCCCTGGATTTAAAGCAGCTGGATTCAAGTGCTTTAATTGCTGCTTGGCTATCTGAGAATATCTTTATTGTTTTTTGTGTGTGGTGTCGATTTTCCAGCTCCTTTGCACACATTTCAATGGCGTATACCTCTGCCTGGAATATCGTAGCTAGTTTACCCATACTGAATGAGCGTTTCACTACTGGGTTCATCCCGTATATTCCGGCTCCGACACCTTCCAAAGTTTTAGAGCCCAATTTATTTATATACCAAATTGTACCGTTTTTCCGTGAGAAGAGTTCAAAAGTTTGCATAACAAATTGTTATTTATTATACAAGGGAAAAAAGTTGTAGATTTCAGCTCCAGGTTGTGTTGTCGAAACGTAGCGGAGGGAGACAAGAAACCATGAGCTATTAGTAATATTTATTTCGTTATTCGAGCGACGCTGGTGCCACTAGCACGTCTTCAACAAACGACTGCTCAGAGGGATCAAATACTGATACTGCAGTATTCGTTCCACTTGGTATTCTGGGATACAGAGAATGAAAATGGATCTGATACATTATGCTAATAAATTATTGTACCAATATCAATTTTTTTTATGAGGCTAATATGGCTTCGAATTTCGAATTTGAATTTTCTAACGAAAACTAAATACAGTATTGATAGAATTTTATAATTCAACATAAAGATAATATTGCAAAATGATCACATACTAATTTTGGCCAATATAGTAGGCAAATATAAATTCAATATCGAATTTACATGCCTATTATGGGAATTATAAGGAACCGGGATCTATAAGTTGGCATAATATCTTTGTCCAATCTCTTGAGCATATCGAAACAAGATTAAAATTCAACATAGCACCAAAATTTCACATTGATTTGTTGGTCTAATATTTAAAATCAATATTTTCCCAATCAAAATTCAACCAATATTAGTGTTCTACCTGGATAAATTACCTTTGTCCGGTATTCATTGTTAGTTTGGGTTAATACATCAAAATAACGAAATAAATATTTCCACTAAAACAAACCGATTTCACATCATTAGACGATCCATTTCTGGTGTTAGTTACATAGGTATATATACCTACTCGAAAATCACTTATTAATATTAGTGTTATTACTTTGCTGAGTTAGCATTATGAAGTAGAGGTACACACACTTCCGCTCATAACGATGCCAATTTGAGTTTGCATTTGGCGCAATTTAGCATGTGGGTATAAACCGTGATTGCCGTGAACTTCCGAATTTGTGCAGTAAAATGAATAATCTGGCATGCTAAACAAATAATAAGCCTGAACTCCCCGAATATGAACTGGAAAATAGCTGACCTTCAATTATTCTGCACATCGGGCAAACGATTTCATGTTGTGTTAATTGATACCTTTGAGCTGACGTTACTAGGAATAATAACATGTTTACTAATTGCTTGCAATCTGGAGTGATAATAAAATAGGTACATCTATATAATGAATTCGTCGAGTATAAGAAGTATTATTTTAATGTACCTACGCGGCTCCACCTTCATATTTGGCTTTTGGAAATATCGAATGAATATTGAAAGATTGAATTTGATAGGAAACTATACCATATATGCAGACGATACAGTACTTCTATATGAGAATAAAAACCCAGTATATAGTACAGTATATAAATGAGTACTTGAAAAAAATTGAGAAATGGCTTTATTCCAATCTTGTTTCTTTTAATCCTAATAAGACTCAATATATAATTTTTTCAAAGAAATAAACAAAATATTGATCTTGATATTAGAATGCAAAATGAACGTTTGAAACAAACTGCCCATACCAAATACCTTGGTATTTGGATTGATGAGAAATTAAGATGCGAAAAGCATATTGACATCCTCATAGGAAGAGTATCTCCCATATTATTGGTGCTTTAAGAAGATTTCCTAAACTTAGTACATATACATCAAATATTATTCTCTATTCACATAATACTCAGTCGAATTAACTATCTCATAAATATTTGGGGATCTTGTTCCAAAAATAATTTCAACAAAATTTCTGTTCTATATAAAAAGGCATTGAAAGTATTGTATCGTCTTCCATATGATACTCCAACGAATCAACTGGTATAAGGAAACAAACACATTTTCTTTGAAAGAGCACTTTTCAATCAATACTCTCAAAATTTCCTATTATATCATCAACAAAAAGGTGAAATCAAATTTTATATTAATTAGGAATTCCGAAATTCATGATCATCACACTAGACAATATAACTTGTTTCATCTTGAAGCTGCAAATTCTAAACTTGGACAAAAAAAGTTTACACATGAGACAATTTCGAAATTCAATAAATTACCAGATGATATCAAGGACAGCCCAAATATTATAAAATTCAAAAATAAAGTGAAGAAATATATTTATATGCAAAGGAATGATCAAAGCTGAAAGACTATGAATTTCCTTTTTTTTTTCACTGTTTTTTCCCTTCTTGTTCACTATAATGTTATTTTGAGAGTTTTGTTCACTATTTGTAATTTCAATTATACAACAGTCGATCGATAATACTTCATGAATGATCTTATACCAGGAATTACTGTCTGATCATTCATGCCATTCCTACTAGAAAATTAATTATACTTTATATATTATTTGTATGAAATGTATCAATGAAAAAGAGAATGTAATGCAATAACTGAAATAAATAAAAAATATGCTGATTTCAAAACGCTATAGATTCGATTCCCTTCAACTTCAACTCATAATATTGATTGTACATCAAACGTAAATCATGATTCGTCGATTGAAAGAGGTTTGCACGGATTTCTTCCCTCAGTGGTCTTCCCCACTATAGCCTCCTTCCATTAAATAAATGAACTCTGAAATTTCTATCCCGTTTTTTCGTTTCAGGTCTGGTGCCCTCGCAGACGTTCCAGCACCAGCGCGAGAGCGTGCGACTGGCGGCCGAAGAGCGCACCTCGAAGCCGCCGCGCAAGTCGGCAACGTTGCTTTGCGGCCGCGCGCACAAAAGGAAGAAGAAGCGCGGCGCGTACGCGGACGGCGGGTATCCGGCTTACGCAACCGCCGCCGCTGACGAACACGACACGGAGGAGGTGAGTAAAGGCTGGGAATGTCGTATTCTGCCACCGACACAAAAAATCCAAAATTAGCTCTTGAATTGACGTTTCTATTACTGACACATTGGTGTGCCCACTTTGCAATTGTTTCGTCAGACTAGCTCTCGATATGAACAACAATTCGGAACGTGGGGTTCTCATATTCGATTATAGATGGCGTGATCGAAAAATTTCAAAATGCGTTTCGACTCTTATTATGAAGTTGAACTAGACTTTCAATGATGTGTTCTGTTTCTTTCGGGACCTGAAGGGTCATGTTGATGATGCACGAATTCAATAATAGCTGATACGAAGCATGTAGAGACAGGACGCAGAAGAAACAGTGCGCAACAAATAATCCGTGTGGAAAAAATCTTGATCTTAACATATCTGTCACAAGTGTCATGTTTTCAGCATTAAGATTCAAAATTTTGTTACAATTTCAGATAGAAATATTATAAAATGAGAGCATCAGTAGTTTATTGAGCAGGTATTGATATTATATTATTAGTTGAGTGAGTGTATTGTGCTTTCATCATGGACTGACTGCTGCAATGTGTGAGGATTATTTGAAAATCCGAACATTCGATTCATTTTATGTACCAATGAAAATGTGAACTCAAATGGATATGTCATGATGCCTGTAAATTTGGTTCGAAATTTCGGAAATTTAGCAAGATTCTCCCACGCCTCGCTATTTTTACAAAGGAGGCGATATCGAGAGATTTCAAAACTCATTTCAATAGGAAGTGATAATACCATACTGACCCAAGCATATATAGGTATGTTGCTAGACAACACTCTTAGTCAAAGAAAAAACAAAATAACACTAAGTGTCATTTTGTTTTTTCTCTGAAAAAATCTGAACCACTTTGAGAAGGATGGATGGTTTTCAAGACTCAACAGTTTTAGTTCCTACGAGATAAAGTTGAACTTAAGCTCCTGCCGACTTCATTATTGTCTGGGTAGGGTAGGCTTATTTAGTCGGCGGTCTTAGAGGACTGTTGGCTGGAGACTGTCAGACTGCCCTGCACTGATCTCGAGTTCGAAACCGGTCTGTAGGTGTCTAGCGTAGCCTGGCTAAATCAAAATCAATCGGCATTCAGGAGAGAATCACCATCACCCTAGCTCTCCCCCCTTTGTATACGCGCTTAAATCATAGAAATAACAATAAAATGCCATGTTCATGTGAGCCTCTTCATTAAAACTTTCCTCCTTATTTTCGTGACGACCTCCTCATCTGTTTTATTGATGAAGGTACTCACCTACGAGGAGGTGTCGCTGTACTACCCGAGGGCGAACAACAAACGGCCCGTGGTGCTGATAGGGCCGCCCAACATCGGGCGGCACGAACTGAGACAGAGGCTGATGGAGGATAGCGAGAGGTTCGCCGCTGCCATACCACGTGAGTATCCATCGCCTTTTTTTGGTCTAGACTTGCCCACGACATTGTCGTTCCAAATGGAAACCTAGTAGGTGAAGTATACAGAGTGCTTCGAAATTCAGTCAAGACTTTTTTTCTATCAACAGTGTCCGTAAATGCATCATTGTCGATCTACATAGCGGTAAAGTTTCGAGATTTAAAAAAAAATTATCGATCTTTTAGTTTTCGAAGTATTTTTCGTTACATAATCTTTTTGTTGAATAGTTATTTACTCGACATTTTAATATTGAATCTAGCGAACTATAAAAAATTATTTCAATTTTCAAGATTACACTTGTCAGAATAATCGATTTGTTGTAATATCATCATTTCTCATGTCTGCTGTCACTCTTTCAGAGTAATAATAAATGTAAAATGATTTCTCTGAGCGAAGAAGAAAAAAAGATATATGATATTTAATAAACTTGTCAGCATTACAGCATTTGCTTAAAGTTTCTGTCTTCTTCCTGAATACAAAGACTTGCTCTCCGTCCTAAATTGTTCACAGCCCTTATATTACATCCCTTCTTCTTATAGACCGACATTCTTCAATTATGCTGTTATTTGACTGAGTCGAGACCACAACTACAAAAACAATTTTTTTTTTCAATATGGCTACCGTCATCAGAGATGAACTGGTGACCTGCTTGCTTACGTCTCACATATATTGCAGCAATCTATTGAAAAATATGGTGAAACCTTAGCCGTGGCACTTGATATCTCCAAGGCATTCGATCGAGTCTGGCACCACAGACTCCTCGCCAAGCTTCCATCTTATGACTTGCCTCCCCAGCTATCTTCTCTGCTAGTTAGTTTTCTCTCAAACAGGTCTCTCCATGTAGTGGTCGACGGAGTTTCATCTGACTCTCTTGTCATAAATGCTGGTGTTCCGCAAGGATCAATTCTAGCACCAACACTATTTTCACTCTATATCAACGATTTGTTGGAAGCAATTCATGCCCAGTACACAGCTTCGCGGATGATAGTACCCTTCATACCGCCTTCTCTTCCAGGGCTCCAATACCATCCAGGCAAATCAGAAACGAACGAGGGAGAAATGTTGACAACATAAATATGGACTTGGCAACAATTCTCGAATGGGGATCCAATAACTTGGTAGATTTCAATGCAAACAAAACACAAGCATGCCTTTTCTCTAGGAAAGCCGATCTCACTGTGCCCAACATAAGCTTGTCAGGAGTAACGATACCTTTGAAGACATCCATTTCGATACTTGGTATTACTATCAGCTTTGGAAAATCACGTGAGATCAATTGCTGGACGTGCATCCCAAAAACTTGGTTTTCTGTTTCGGGCCAGGAACTATTTCGCTTCCAGTCAGCTGGTTATGATCTATAAGGCACAGATCCGACCTGTCCTGGAATACTGGTCCCATATATTTGGACTGCAGCTCCCAAACATACCCTGAAACTGTTGGATTCTGTCCAAAAAAGGGCAATTGGTCTCGTGGGTGATGCCTCGCTCACAAACTCACTCACTTCTCTTGAACACCGTAGAAAAGTTGGCGATCTGCTTCTATTTTATAGATATCCCCATGGACGATGCTCTCCTGAAATATCAACAATTGTTCCTCCCTTGGCAGTCTCCGCGAGATTAACCCGTCGAGTTGAGGCTTCGCACCCCTTCGTGGTCACTTTGGAGACCTACAGAACAGCTCTTTCTAAAGACTCTTTCATCCAACGAACAGCGAGGCTCTGGAACACATTGCCAAGGGAGGTGTTCCCCGAGGCATATAACCTCCAGAAATTTCCTTGGTTCTCACGATGTTCTCTGAAGATTACCAGGATATCCCATTTCGTGGGAACCAGAACATAAAAAAAATTATATATCACCCACCGATGCATCTTTTCCAGACACTTCCCGAGCCCGCAAAGAGAACGAGGTCGACGGGCAGGACTACCACTTCATCACGCGCGCCCAGTTCGAGGCGGACATCTTGTCCAGGAAGTTCGTCGAGCACGGCGAGTACGAGAAGGCCTACTACGGCACGTCGCTGGACGCCATTAGGTCGGTGGTGCACGCCGGCAGGATCTGCGTGCTGAACCTTCATCCGCAGAGCCTGCGCATCCTGCGCACGTCAGATCTGAAGCCGTACGTGGTGTTCGTAGCGCCGCCCAGCTTGGAGAAGCTCAGGCAGAAGAAGATCCGGAACGGGGAGTCGTATAAGGTGAGGGACGTTCATATATTTTCTTCTTTCAATTGATACTTGTTGCTTTATTGATTATGCTTTGATCAGTAGAGCAGTTCAGCCCAGTAAACACAAACATTACTGGGATGTCACAGTCATGTCTCCCTAGGTAACAATTCGAATTACAAGAAAATATCATTGGTATATTGCCAGGGGACTCTTTATTTTAGGAAACATTCGCAATATTCCTCACAGTTTATTGGATTCTATACTTAAAATGTAGGTGAACAACCAAAAGACTAGGAACGCACGATGTTCTTTAAACATTATAGGAATTCCTTTTCGTGCGCTCCAAGCGATAAAAAAAATCATTTTGATGTTGAATGAGGAGTCGCTTAATACGTACTGTGAGTTTTATTTGGCATCATAATGTGAATCATCGAATGACTAAAAGGATCCGGAATAGCAGTCATTGTAATTTTAGTGGGACTCCCATCTTGAGTCACGGGTGTGATTCGTGGCATGAATGTGATGCCCTCTAATATCTCTAGGATCAATCTGTGTTAACTGGGAGCTAGAGTTGAGAGAGAGAAAATGGCTGCTCAATGAACAATTTTGGTCGGCCTTATGCTGGCCCATAATATGTTGGCCAGCACTGGTCAGAACGGCAAAATTCCTGATGGGCTAGTACCAATAGGAGACTCTGGCCGTCGTCACGGCCAGTACATGTCTGCCGATACATTCAATTAAAAAAATCGACCCCCACGGGATTCGAACCCCGGTCCACCGCTATCACTTGGTTTACAAATCGAACTTATTCCAACTGAGATACTACACCTTTCTTGATCTAATTTGTCGATTATAAAACGTTATACAGATACGCATAAAAAAGTTATGACTTTTCGAAAGACTCAAAAGACATGTAGGTGGCGCCACTACCACGAAAGAGACAAAAAAACTGACATAAAATTTCATATTGTCATCAAAAAATACCCCTAGATACCAAATTTCATTTCAATATCACAGTTATTTTGAAATTTATTAACAAAAAACAAAAATAAGAATTCAACTTATAACTTTCGGATATATGTTTATACGAACTTTTCTTCTTATTTTGACGTCAGCAACATGCTCCCGAATTTTCTACACGTACTTAAGAAACACCCTGTATACGTGTACGGAATTCATTCGCGGTTATTATTCGAATTGGAATATTTCATCAATAATAATAATTGTCATCATCATAACAGATATGTACAAACGATGAACAAGGAATGACATCCGATTCTATGATAGACTACCGAATTTCTGTCATGCCTATTTTATGAGTCAGACAACTTGCCTATTTTTTTTATGGCCGAATTTGATGATTTTCATGATAATATTCATCAAATGCAATAAATGAACATTAGTTACTTGCTTGGCATATGTATATGTACATAACATACCTACTGGCCATCGACCTTTGTTACTAACTCCGTACGCCACCTTAGGAGCAGCACTGTTAACTGGAACGCAACAGCGAATCGTACGAAATAATCTCTAGCCGAGGATACGAAAATTATAATTTATAACTCGTTTTATAAATAAATATTCTCTGCTCTTCCGGGGAACCGAACCTATAGCAACCATTCGATGTTCTGATTATTAGTAGAGCGGCTCAACCACAGCGCTATTCCGCCGCCTCAAAGATTAAATTTTTCAATCCGAACTGAAATATAATCATACTCTATATTTGGCACGGTGCCTTAAACGATTTCAATATGCCATATAATGGGTAGACGATTGTATGACGTAGGTAAAAACATCATGCGAATTGAAACTATTGTCCCAGTGCCGGCTGAATTATAGGCAAACGAATACAATATGCCATATAATGGGCCGTCATTTCACCAGTGCAGCTTGGTCATGGCCAGCAATCTGCCGATCTATTTCGTAATGGGCCAGAAGGCGGCCAGAGATTTGATGTTTACTGGGTGCCGTTTCCGGAATGTCATTCGTGGTCAAGTCACTGAATACCTAAAAATCTGAAGGTTATATCTCCCATGCAGTAATGAATTTGCGCCTTTGATGTGCTCACCTGATGTTAAGTTTGAATATTTGATACTTTCATCTCATTATTTGAATGATCTGACTTACGAGTCCCAAAATACGGATTCTAATAGGTACTGACGTATAGAGTCTCATGTCTGATTGGTAGATTGTTGGATGTTTTGTGTCCAAAGAGCAGAAATCCAAAGACAAAGCATTGACAAAGTGGAATAGAATGCATAGAACTGAATAGAGAAAACAAGACGAGTGAATGCGCGTCCATACCTCATACTCATGCGTGAGCATTTTCCTTCGATTTTTCCCCTTCAAGTGGTGAAACATCCCCTCATCCATTTTTTTCAAAAAGGAATATGCAATATACTGGTAGCACCTAGTAGAAATCTTCAATAAAGAAAATTGATTTCCCACAATTATTTGAATGTTCATGTTTTTAGAAACATTGGTTTCAGCATAAGTTTCAGTTATCTCATAATGGTGTTGATATTAGGAGACCGATAAATCATTGAACGTGTTTTTGCAGTTTTTCACCTATTTCCCCTCAATTTTTCATCTTAGTATTTCATTTGTTTGATCTCTTTCAGGAAGACGAACTGAAAGACACCATAGAAAAGGCCCGAGAAATGGAAGAAAAATACGGCCACTTCTTCGATCTAATCATCATAAATAACGATACAGAAAGGGCCTACCACCAACTACTGAACGAAATCAATAGTCTAGAAAGAGAGCCCCAGTGGGTGCCTGCAGCCTGGGTCAAGGCCCCATAATACAGAGTGCCCAAATGTTCACCCAAGGGATGAATGAATCGAGATCGTTCTGAGGTTCGTTGGCAACAAGTTATGCCTGGAAAAGGGGAAAATATGTCTTGTTCTGTGCCGGAACGTTACTGTTCTATGGCGACAGAAGTGACACGCTGTTGCCAAATGCGAAATAAAGTCGCGGTATACCTACCTACCGAGTCAGCAGGGCAATAACTACTTAATTGTAAATAAATAAAACGTAGAATCGTATGACACGTGTTTAAAGAAGAAAATACATTGTTCATAGCTATGTATATCTAGCGTCTCGGAAATGTGTATATAAAATATCTAAGATAGTTATCCTGATGCAGGAAGACTCAAGAAAAAGTGACAACAATGAGAGCAACTGATTTTGACTACCTACCATATTGTCGCTTGTTGAATCACCTCGTATTGGAATCTCCCATAGATCAAATGACTTTTGACTTGAATCGCTCAGAGATTTTAATTGATGTTAGTAAATTTTCAGATCTATTTAAAAAATCTACAAATTAGAATTATTTTATTGAATGAAAATATAGCCGCTGTATAGAAAAGTCTTTAATCAGTTTTTTTCTGATTATATATATATATATTTTAGTTAGAGTAAGTTTTAAATACTTATTATCAATGTATAGGTGCAATTTTAGAACGTTATAATTTCTCGAATTTCAGATATATTCTTTATTTATCTTGATTATACAGGGCTGAGGATGGAACTTGTCTTTATTCTGACAAGATCGCTGAAGGAAAAACTTTATTTCAAAGGATGTGCAAGGTTTACTATGTGATGTGTATAATCTCTGCTATACAGGGTGGGCCACCAGTAACGCCTCGGTCTCTAGAAGGCTAACCACTTATCTTCTTGGAATTCTTCCTCTCTAGGAAGTTGCATGTCAACATAGGCTACCATTTAAAATTATTTGGAAACATACAGGGTGTCCCCAAAAACCATAAAACACTGAAGTTAAACTTTTTTCTATCGAACACCCTATATATTATTTCATTTTGAGATTCTCCCTGATGAGCTGATTTCAACGACACATCATACTTGGGGTCTAGCAGTTACTGAAATATAGGGTGTGAAAAATCGAGATTTTCCAAGTTCAAGAATTTTTTGTGTCAAAACTATTCATAATTGGTCAAAACGGCTTGCATGTCCCTATCCCAACTTTTGATCAACTATCTACTGACATTTAATTGGAACAAATACAGGGTGGTGCAGAATTCAGAATCTTGATCACCCGGTATATGTCCCAATTAAATATCAGTAGATAGTTAATCAAATGTTGAGATAGGGACATGTAAGTCGTTTCGACCAATTATGAATAGTTTCGACACAAAAAATTCTTGAACTTTGAAAATCTAGATTTTTCACACCCTATATTTCAGTAATTATAACTGCTAGACTTCAAGTATGATGGGTCGTTGAAATCAGCTCATCAGGGAGAATCTCAAAATGAAATAATATATAGGGTGTTCGATTGAAAAAAGTTCAACTTCAGTGTTTTGTGATTTTTGGGGACATCCTAGCTGTATGTTTCAAAATAATTTCAAATGGTAGCCTATGTTGACATGCAACTTCCTAGAGAGGAAGAATTCCAAGAAGATAAGTGGTTAGCCTTCTAGAGACCGAGGCGTTACTGGTGGCCCACCCTCTGTATATGTGTTTATTCATTCACTCTTGTTCGAATAAAGGTACCCATCACCTACCTGGTAAATCCTTTTATACTCATCCGAAAACTCTAATTCGTTTGTTTTATAGACATCTAAAGTCATACAATTTATTATATTTTGTTTTATTTATTTGTTATTGTTTAATTGTACATAATATATTCAAACTGTGTATATATGATCAGACCCTATGGCGTCTGGTATAGCGATTTAACGTGTATCATAAAGAAAATACTATTATATAGAATGTGACTTCGGGGTTCCTTTTTATTATTAAATATTTTATTATGCATAAATCATTGTTTTAGAACTTGCGGAAATAAAGATTTCTCACTATTATAATTTTGCTTGATTTCTAGATAGGTACAAACAGGGTCTGCACCTCTTTAAAATAAGTAAGTACCTACAGTGTGACCCACTCCCTAACAATACAGGAATGTCCTAGGTAGGTCCTTTTTTTGTCCCGCGGTACAAGGACATGATTGGGGCATCCAGGGGATGTCGCGCAGTGGTTGCCCAGTGGACATCCCGTTCGTTACATCTCTAGGTTATCCTATTCGTATCCCTGGAATATCTGATATCCATTCACATCAGAGTCATTGAATTTCATAAAAGTATTAAGTTGAATTTTTTTTAAAATGTTTGTTTTTTTTTCCGGAAAATAATAGTTATGAAAATAAAGAATAAATAAGTTCCAGAACTTCTTAAGAAATTACCATTTTTCGCAAACAGAAATCGTACATGCATAATGCCCCTCATTTTTAAACACCCAAGAATGATATAATAATTATACCTAAATCCTAACAAAGTTGAATTTATTCAGGTTTCTGTAATAAAGTCCTGGTTATAAATCTGTTTAGTACATAAATTTTCAGGAGGCTCAATAGCCAATGGTGTAAGATGCGTGCCTGATGATAAGCCATAATAAAGGTCCCGGGTTCAATCCGTACTCGACCTACATTTTTTTTCTTTTGTCGAAGGGAAGTCCCTGGGATATACTTGGGACGTCCTAGGGATATCCTTTCTTCGTACTTGGTACATCCCAGGGACGTACCAAAAGGACATCCCTATAGGATGCCTCTTTTTGTGGAAAGCGGATGTCCCTGGGACGTCCCTAGTATGTACCATGTCCCGACTAAGGATATCTCAGGGACGTCCTCATCGTAGAAAATGAAGGACGTCCCTGGGACGTACTCGTGTTGTTAGGGCTTCTAATGGAAACACCCCTGTATCTTACGTAATCGTTGGATAAGGATCCTGAAATTTGCTGGATCGAGAGATATACCAAAATGCACTCTATGACCAAGTGGGGTCGTTATCTTCAGTGATATACACTGCTCGTCAATAACAGCCATGAAACCACCCCAATTTCCGGAAAATGATATTAGGAGTCGAAATAGGTCGAAAATCACTTCAGATTCGGAATCAGAAGACGCCCAATTCCCACTAACCATTCATATTTTTCCTGGAAAATTTTCAATTCTGATAAATTAAATTTTGTCGCACTTTTTACGAAAGCACCCCCGTGTAGTATCTTACGTAATTGAGTTTATCTTTGGATTTCCCCTTCCTCTGCAAAATTTCAGAACACTACCTCAATTATTACGTGAGATACGATGATTGAAAAGTGCTTACCGAATTTCAAATTGCTAATATTACTTATGTTTTGTTTCAACATGCAGAGATAAAAAAATAATGACTCAAAATAATGCGAACACCCCGTATGATAAAAACAAGGTGTCTCCACGACAAATAAAAAAAAGTGTAATATTCTAATTTTTGCTATCTACTATTGTTCGAGAGTTGGACAATTAAAAACCTTAGCTGTATAGTGTAGCAAAACAATTTAATAAGGATTCAAGAATATATAGTGTACTTTTCAATCGCAATCCTTCAGAATGAGATGACATTCAACTTGCATGTTTTAATTCATCAGTGCAATTTTTGAAATAGTTGTAAGAAAGGTTGTAAGTGACATGGTGACATGTAAGATAGTTGTATTGAGTTCATTGGAATCTAGTGAGCTGATGCAGGATGCAGGAGCTGCAACCTGCAACTGACAAAATAATCATCAGTTCTACCAACCTTGAAAGAATTAGGGATTTTGCGACATCTACGGATTCATCAATGAACTTTGTTAGTTTTTTAAACGTATAGAAGTTACAGATCCCTGAAAACAGAATATGGATCTGTCAAGTGTGAATGTCATTTTATTAGTGTTTCTGTTTATTTTTGCAATACTTTAACCTCTGACCTTGACCTCTTTCTTCAACTTTTGAAGAAATTTAATAATTCTGTACAAAAAAAAAACAGCAACATGTATTGGAAATCAGAAGATATTTTTCCGATAATACAGGGCTTTTCATAGTAATTGTTCCCACTTTGCCAAACTTTGGCAGGAACAGTTAGAACAGGGCTTCAAGATTCGGTTTCAGTAAGTAGAGAACCAGATACCTAGTAGTTTATATTTCATAATAATTTGTTTATACTTACAATAGACTATAGAGTTCAATCTGTATTTTTAGAATATTGTATTTTGTTTTGACAAACACCCACCAACAACCTTATCACCAAAATGTTCAAATTGTTTATTCAGCATAATCGAATTTGAATACCTAATACTAATATATTGGTGATAAATTCCAGAATCTTTTTTCCTTCATAAAGTAATCTTCACAAAATGAAAGTAGTTGCCTTAATAAGTGGAGGCAAGGATAGCACCTTCAACATGATGCAATGTATTGCAGCAGGTCACAAAATAGTTGCACTAGCTAACCTATCACCTCACAGTAAAACAGAACTGGACAGCTTCATGTATCAAAGTGTTGGACATGAAGCTATTGACCTCATAGCTGCTGCAATGGACTTGCCTTTGTATAAGAGAGAAACGCTAGGTTGGTGACAAATCTTGGATTTTACATTGATTCTTTGATCAAATTTGGCTTGTTTAAGGGATTTCATATGAAAGAGGAAAAACATATAAGCCTTCTGACAATGATGAGGTGGAAGACTTGTATTTATTACTGGAACAGATCAAAACTGAAGTTGATATTGAAGCTGTATCTGTAGGTGCCATACTATCTGATTACCAAAGAGTCAGAGTAGAAAATGTGTAAGTCAAAACAAACTACTAACATCAAAGCCAATAAATATTTTTCAGCCATGTATCAATTAACTAATAAAACACCTTTAATTGAGTGACCCAAAAGGTTACCTCATCCAATTTCACATAAATGAGTTTGTCTCCATTCTTTTTAGTACTGGTAGAATAGTAAATATCTCATTTTCTAATGGTGATCCTAGGGAAACAATTGAATTGAAATGGATGTAGACCTACCTACAAATTGTTCATTTGGTTAAAAAGTTTCACTCATATTAAATTGGCTTGAATAGCATTTTATCAAAGGCATTCAATTTGTTGGGCTGTTTTTTCATCACATTTATATCCTATAATGAGTCCTATAATATTGGTCAAATGTGAGTAAAGTAACCTTGATCTAGTGCCATGTATGTTCAAGAAACATTTTCAGCTAAAACCAATGATCTTGCAGTTATGGTTAAACTCTAAATTATTCAGTGACCAAGACTTAACAAATGTCCAGACGAATGTACATAGGGTATTCAACATTTTTTATAGATGTATTAGACTAGGTCTCACCCCTCTTGCCTACCTTTGGCAGAGGAACCAGGAAGAACTACTAGATGAGATGATCAGGTGTGAAGTAGATGCTATCCTAATAAAAGTGGCTTGTCTTGGCTTAGAAACCAAGCATCTAGGTAGATCTCTCAGTCTAATGCAGCCCCATCTGTTGGCCATGCACGAAAAATACGGGGTGAATGTATGTGGAGAGGGCGGGGAATATGAGACTTTAACACTGGATTGCCCATTGTTCAAAAGTAGAATAGTCATGTGAGTAGTTTTGCAACGAACATGCAATACTTGTGAAATGTAATATTGATTATAGTAGTGGACCATTATCATAGATTATCCTATGCACTTTTCATTGGTTATCAACAATGATAAGAAATATCATGGTATTCATGGTGGTAATATTTTGGACCTGTTTTTCCAACAGTTGTGAAACAAAAAGTATAATTGGAAGTTTTGCAATTATACTGCAATGTTTCAATCAAGAATTAGAAAGCTCTATAAGTTATAAGTGAAATTAAAAGAAATGAAGTGAAGACTCACAATATCTCTAATTGATTTTGGTCCATTTTGTTCAACTTTGGAACATTGCAAATTGTTGATATTTATTGCAAAGTGGAAATCATAGTCTTGAATGCCCATATTCTGATAACTGTGGAGGATGGTTAGGTGGGGTATCTTTGGAAAATTGCTTGAAAGGTCATTTCAATAGAGAGGAAACATCAGCAGATCAATTATGTAATCCTTACTTAGGGTAGGAACATTCTGACAGCACTGACAGTCAGACATATTTAAAGAAATTGTAAAATTGTTCTATCCGTCCTTTGGTTGCCCCCTTTTGAGCAACCCTCAGAAGTCTTCAAGAGTCTTGTGCGAGCAAGGAATGACGGGGGCCTTACCTTTTAACGTGTGATCCCAAACACTTTCTTGGGCCATCAGAAAAATTTCTGCAGTCACGAGGAATTGAACCCACGACCGGCAAGCGAATGCGGATTACAATACTGACACTCTGTCCGCACGGCTACCTGCTTCACTTCACTGCTCAATCGATAATATGCCGAAAATAAAACATATCCTGATATCCCATTAAAATCAGATATATTAGTAATCATCTCTTTTATCAGTTATTGAATTCCTAGAGATAGATTCTATAGATGGAATAATAATTTTGAACTTTCTACAAGAAATATTTCGCTGATACAGTCTAGAGTTCCTAAATGTAGTTGACACTGCTGATTTTGACGTTTTTAATATACAAAAAACGTCAAAACAGCAGTGCCAAGAACATTTAGGAACTCTAATACAGTCATGTAACGCTATTTTTGTTATTTGCCAATTACGAGGTTGAACCACATGGGCCATCAAAACGCCCAGGCGATGTGGTCTTGGATCGGTCGGTACTGGTCTTCACGTCTTGATTTACCACCTGGTCCCGAATAAATGACTAATGAGTTGAATCATGCTGCTAAGTCTTCACTAAAAAACGTTACCATTTGAAGATCAGTCAATGCGGTCATCAATTAAATACCCTGAGGTCGACGTGTGGCCCAAGTAGTCGAAACCGGTCGGCAACCAAAAACTCTCTCATTATTAAAAAAATAGGAACTGACAGTACATGTCATCAAAGGTATATCGAATCGGGAACAAACTGTGGAAAATAATAAGTTACAATTTTCAAAGAAATATCAGATGAAAGAGAGTCAAACATCGAAAATTCAGAGCAGACATTCAATAATTCCGATTTTTTTTTGTAAAAAAGAGGCGAATTCTGCAAGCAAATAGAAGAGAAAGATAGAGAGTTGAACAAAAAAATGTGGATACAAGATTAGAGTCAGCAAAAGTCACACCTATTACCCTTGCTATTACCCTAAAGTGAGATTTTAAACTGAATCCACATTAAGTATAACAGCACTAACCGTCTTTTGTGCACTCTTCAAAAGAATGCCAGAAAACGGGAATAGCCAGGCAGTTTTGACAAGAACTTTTTGTGAAATTATGGCAAACTATTGCATTTGAAAAAACAAAAGGTATATTTGAATGGCAAATTGAAACATAGTACAAAGCTGTTTTTTCATGAGGAATATTCTGTAGGAAGGTCTTCAATTGTTTGCTACGAAACATTTTCAATAGTATTGATCATTGTATTACAATTATTTGCTATAATCACCTTATCTAGTTGATGACAGAATGATGATATGGCTGTACTTTTTTTTCAATATGTAGAAGAAGGAAGATGTGAAAAGCCTTTTTGCAACACATGGGATCTGTTTCAAAATCATTTGTGGTTATGTCTGGCTGTCACTCCTTGTTGAGTGTCCGTACTCTAAATATATAATAATGGCAAAACACACACTTCAAATCCATCAAGGAACTCTCATTATTCAGAAGAAAAATTTCCCTGTAAGGCAGTTATTACAGGAAGTGGTACTTCATGAGGTGTCAACTGGTACAACTGATACAAGTAGATATGCCTGTTGATGGTGCATTTTCTTTTTTCAACTCGAAAATAAAATGAACGATTGTTTCAAAGTTGAACAAAATTATGCGCTCTTTTGTGCTTAACATTTTCGATAGGAAATGTGTATTTGTATTTTTTTAGTGAAGATTCAGAACTTGTAGTACAATCCGACGATCCAATAGCACCCGTAGGCTATCTAATTTTCAAACAACTGTCCCTAGAGTTGAAACTGCCTGCTTTAGATTTGCATAGTCGGCTCGAAGGCTTGCCGCTCAAAGATAGCGATGGTTATGTCACTGATCAGAGTGAAGAAGCCTTCGAAGTTTTAGAAAGAGCCTTAGGTATATGTTCAAAATTAAACATATGGGAAACATTGAATAATGGTCCCCCACAAAACATTTTATACTATGTAGTGAGTTTTGTAATAATGGGCTGCAGGAATTCAACATATTTTTTTTAATTTATGTGTCTATGGGACACAAAAAATCTTATAGAGATATGAAATTCTTATTTCAAATCGATTTGTCACATAAGCATAGCCTCCTAAAACTCGTACAATAGTCAATAGTTTGTGAAATTTGAAATAATTAAGGAACCGCAGCTTTTATTAAAATGTGGGGCCCACATTTGTTCAAATTGATACATTTGGCAGGGATATCTGAATTATGTGTTTCAAAAAAAGAAACTCACACACTGTATGTAGATGTTGATGATGAATAGGTACCTATTTTTACTAGGTATTGCTGATATTCTTCCGCAATTCGTCACCTTTGGAAAAGTAAAAATTTCTTTTTATATTCTGAAGCGTCGTACTTTGGTTACACCCTATCACGTTGAAACTACTTACTTCATATCCAGAAATTAGAAAATAGTTTTTTCCACCCTAACACAATTTTTGATGGATTTCGCACAGACTTTCACTTATAACACCGTTAATAGATGGTTCTTTACACAATCTTTACACAATTCACAATATTATATATTATATATGAATATAATTCAGATATCGAAATTTTGTAACTTATCACAGTACATTCTTATGGCTGTTAACGAAAGTGTAGGACTCATTGACATTGTTGCCGAGTTTCTTCAGCACGTCATGTCACAAAGAAAGTTCACATTACTCTATTCATAAAAAAAATCATTCACTGCGTAACAGAGCTCTAGTGTTTGAAAACAAGTGTAGTAGGTACTACTTTTTTTAGAGTTCGTAAAACAACACAATTTCAGGTGACTGAAAAGCTGAGAATTGTTACTGATACTACTAGTAGTAGTAGTATTGTGGGGAGGCTGTTGCCAGGCAAGTAGGCCCCCATGGGCCCTTTTTGCCAACCCCTGCTCTCCACATATCTACACATCCCTCTTTTAGTTGTCCTTTCTGATGAAGGTCAGGATGTCCGTCCACTCTAATTCGACCAAATCTTCCTGTTGTAGTTTATCTACTCCAAAGATTTCGAATCTCATCCTTCCATACGCCTCACACTCTCCGAGGAAGTGAAGTGATGTCTCCTCATCTTCTCCGCATTCACGGCAAGTGGGACTATCTTCCACACCTATGAGTGATAGGTGTCTGCGTAACCTGTTGTGCCCTGTCAGTACCCCTATAATAAGGCGCAGGACTTGGCGATCCCTGCCCAGTAACCAAGCCGTCTTTGGCTTGCTTGGACCGGCCACCAGGTCTCTCGATTGCCTGTTGCCATTTTTGTTAAGGGCAGACGAAGTTTGGCTTCTTGTTATGCCCAGTGCAGGCTCCGGTCCCCAGAACGGTGTCGCGGATCCGATTCTAGCCAGCTCGTCGGCCACCTAGTTCCGGGTACCCCCCTGTGACCCGGAACCCATACTAGTTCGACTTCCTTCTGTTCAGCTAGTTCCTCAAGAGCATCGCCACATTCCTGCACCAAAGCTGAGCTAGCCCTGAGAGCGGCCTGACTATCCGAGCAGATGTAAATCTTCTGCTCTGGTCCCTCTTTTACCTCTTGCCTCTCCGCTACTGCCAGAATGGCAAAGACCTCAGCCTGGAAAACTGTGGTATACTTTCCAAGAGCGTAGCTCTCCCTTATGCCTATTCCTTCTGTCCTGTTTGTCAGTTAGGCGCGATCCGTCCGTATAACATACTAGACTCCCCGGGCGGAATTCCACTCTGTTCTCTTCCCATTGTTCCCTGCTTGGAATAGTGAGGTTGAACCTTCTATTCCATCTCAGCCTATTTTGAGCGTTCTTTACTCTTAGGGTGGAGATAGGGATCTCCTGCTCCACCCATGTCGCAATTTCCGCGTGACCTGTCACTGCTCCTCCGTTAGCCCAACTCCCAGAGTCCCGCATCGTCAGATGGGCCGCCATTGCTTCCCTCTTAATCCAGATTGGAAGCGGCGGCAGCCCCAGGAGTACCTCCAGCGTTGCAGTTGGCGTCGTCCTCATTGCTCCTGTGATGGCCAGGCAGGCCATCCTCTGAACTTTACTAAGCTTTCGACTGAAACTGATACTAACATTTACATAGTCACTAAGAGTGATCAGTCACATATTAGATAATTATTTAGCATTTATTTCGCGGTAGTTTCTTGGTAGGTTTTTAATTATGAAACATTTTCTTGTATTTTATGCATTATTTTTATATGGTTTGATCTTTAACTTAAATTTAGGGACAAATTGTGTAAAATTCCTGTTCATTGTTTTACGTGTTTTAGAAGAAGACGAAGAAGAACGTATACCAAACCCGCCTACTAACAATGTCAATTACGTTCCTTTGAACATCTTTCAAAAACCCACCTCAGTGAAAAGCAAAGACGGTTGGCTCTGGATCGGTGGAATCCAGGGAAATTCTTCAGATTCTCTCGAATCTATGTACCAAGCCATGAATATTTTAAAGTGTAGGTATGCATTGATAAAGTACCTATACAACCTGATTCATGAAAATCGTTGTTTAGGTTAGGTTAGACAACTCTGAAAGTTGGGGATATTGCTGAGCTGAGCAGAGCTAAAATATTTAGTTTTCTCAGCTTTTTTATGTTATTATCAAGGTACATTTTAGATAATTTATACTGAATGTTGTTTCGTAGTGGAACTCTCTATAAATGGTCACTCAATTCAAGATGTCTGTTCTGTGACGATGTTTATAAATGACATGCAGAAATTCGCAGCATTGAACAAATTGTATCTTGAGACATTTAATTTCACCAATCCTCCCACCAGAGCTTGTGTCCAAGTCCCTTTCAACGAAAACTGTCCTGTAAGGATAGAAACATTGTCTTGGAGACAGCCCGATAATGTTAGTGGAGACAATAATATTGAAAGGTAAGAGAATGAAAAATAGTTTTATTTTCAATTCAATTCAATAGTGAAACTGTATCATTCTTTATTCAGTAGATGGCATCTTATCATTTACAGTGTGAAGACTTGACCACCTCTGTTTAAACTTTCAAATTTGCATCAATCTTGATTCCTTCATTTTAGTTTCGTGGGTATTTGAAATACACATTCAACCAGATGGTTACCCCATTTTTGGGCTCTAATTATGACCAGCCAGGAAAAAATTATTTCAATACATTCGCTCTGAGCACCCGGTATTTCGATATTTACCTTTTCGTACGTAAAAAGTTACGCCCTCTTCCAATTTCGACGAAATAAATAGGAGTATGTGAACATTGTGAGATTACCGTGAGCCGCATAAGCATCAAACAATAACCAGTACTTTTCGAATTATCTTAAAAAAATAATTTTATCGCAATTTAACAAGAGACAAAAAATACTCAAAAATGATTGAACACTTGAAGAAAAATAGATAGGAAGTCATGAGCGCACGTACAAAAAAAATATGGGGGTAAGTGTGTACTTGACCCCTAGTATTTTGAATATTTGACAGTTATTTTCTGTTTTGTTTTCTTCACACGATGTAACTCTTTGTGCTGAAGTGATGTACCAATTTTGAGATTAATATCTTAGTAAATACGCGAGTAATTAGAAAAAAACTGTTTTTTATTTCCAACTTCGACACCCTGTATATCGAATATGAAGGGCTCAAATGAAAAATGGTATTTAGAAACTCATATTGTTTTTGTTCAAGGAATATATGGTTAATGGATTGACCTCCTTTTAGCAGACACTCTGTATACCATATCAATGATCTGTTGGTAGTTATCAACTGCCCTTCAAAGTTTTTGGAATCATTTTTCTAGGGCAGTATTTTTGAAAACGTATATCCTGCAGGAGTTTAAATAAATCCAACTACCTACCTTATCTCTTTAGGTATGCACTATATTCTAAGAACATGTATAGTGTGTTGGAGAAAATAAATCACATACACCTATTTCAAATGATTGGTTGAAAAAGTGCTACTGTTTTTTTTTTTTCGAAGAACTGACGACGGATATTGAGGATTATAACTTCTATCCGATTTCCATAACTCTAAGATACAGGGTTGAATAAATATTTGACTCATTCGTTATTTTGGAATGATGAAAATCGGTACAAGTATGTTTTAACCATTCAAAATCCATTGTTATTTTTTATACAAAAATAATCACGAATAGAAGGCTAATAGTACTTTCTGAAATTTGAGTACATGAAAGAGGCCGTGTTAGTCACGATAAGATTCTCAAAATAATGTCCCCAACTTTTTCAATGTGTAGTTCAAATACCTACTTAACAAAAAATGTTTTCAAGATTGATCAACAAATAAATATTTCACAGGAGTGGTAAGTCAATTATCTGATTATATTCAAGAGACAGATTATATTTTTCAAATGTTGAATGTTTCTCAAGTATTAACAACATTTTCAGACAAACCATGCATGTTCAGAGTAGGTCACATTGGGCGCCAGCAAATATAGGACCTTATAGCCAATCTGTCAGAGTGAAGAATTTCGTATATTTAGGTAAGCAACTGAGAATTACTTGTCAGAATATGATTTGAATAGACACCTACCATCATTCATAAATCAAGTTTGAATCAGAAATATTAATGAAGATTGCCCTCTTAGTGTGAATTATGATAATTTATGTTATGGTTTCAAGTCGTCTTGATAAAAAATCAAAATGATAATTTTCAGCAAGTCAACGTTGACGCTTTATTGTTTGCCATTATTGGGGAATCCTGATCATGGTAAATTATAATTGCGAAAAAAAGTCACTTTTGATGCGAAAGAAACATGCTATTTTTTCTGCAACCGAAAGAATGAACTGAAATGAATATGTGAAGTAACCACCAATGTGACTTACTTGACAGATTATTTCAATACCTTTATTATAATAATATAGTTAAGTAGATTGAAGCAAGACCTCAGACTACTTCACATTAGAATATTGTAGGAAAATGTTAGGTTAGCAGATCAACAATAATGATAGCGATTATTTATTTCTCGGTATATTCCACTGTGTTTGGCTCGGTAATCAAATGAAAGTTTACGATATCGTTGTGTGAGACAAGAAAGTATTGCTGGCCGTGATTATTCAAAACAAGTTATCCAATCAATCAGATCCCGAGAATAACAAATGAAATACAGATCAAGCAAGTATGTGAATCTTGAAGGCTTTCCTGATGAAAACAAAAATACTTAACTATAATATGGTGTATTGATATCTCCAGCATGGGTATGAAATACCAAATATGCCGAAATCGGGATCAAATCAGATATGCGTCCCAACCCAAATAACCAATCATTACAATGTTGTTTATTCTTGATGACCTAGTACATCCTTTTTAGTTCCTAGGAGCTAGAGTTGAACTTGAGCTCCTAGAAACTAAAAGTGTTACCTAGCAACATACCATGTTTGTTTCATTAATTGTCTTACATTTCATGTCGAACCTGTCACTGTCTTGATGGTCTGTCAATTTAGATCATTTTCAAGATGTCATATGCATATTTTAACTTTAACCTCATTCATTCAGTCGTCCCGCCGAAAATGTAAGAGCACATGTACAATTGATTTTCTTTATTTTATTTTATTCAATTTTAAACAATGCACTTAGTTTTCTCGAGAAACTTGAATTTTCTAGTGTTGAGCACATAAGAATGTTCTTTTTCTGCTTTAATCTTTTGTAAAAACTTTCTGACAAATGAGTAGAACTTTATTAAAATTTATCAAATTTATTAATCCATTACATAACTTCAATTCAGATTTTCTAATCTTTACTCACTTTCAGAAATTACTCCTGATGATGGCTTGTAGCCGAAAACGTTTGAGAATTTGCTCGTAATAAAGACTGTGTACTATAGCCGTCGTTTGTCAATATTCTAAATAATAGAAACGTCAATTCAAGAACTAATTTTGGTATTAAAATGGAAGACTTTTGTGTCGGTTGCAGAAAAACAATGTTTTTTTTTGTTTATCGGGGCGATCTGATATCAATAACAATCACCCAATAGAATGGTTGGGTAGTGGGTAGTTTGACAGAAGATTAATTTGGACACTCTGTTTTATAGCATTTGTATCTATTGAGGAACTTTTGTTCTTATACCCTACCTATATGCTTTTGAATTATTCATTGAGAAGCATTTGAACCAGAATCAACTGCATTCGTTTTTAATGATTTCAAGCCGATTTGAACAGGGTTTATTAAAAAAAAACACGTCAAAAGTGGTAATGAATTTCAAAATTATTGTGGGACCTTGCCATACAAGTTTTTCTGCGACCGACACAAAAGTTCCATTTTGATACCAAAATCAGCTTTTGAATTGATGTTTCTATTACTGACACAAAAATAGGTATGTTGCTAGGCAACACATTTAGTTGCTAGGAGCTAAAGTTGAACTTTAGCTCCTAGGAACTAAAATGGATGTACTAGAGGTCATCCAGAATAAACAACATTGTTATGGTTGGTTATTTGGGTTGGGACGCATACCTGATTTGTTTCCGATTTATAGATATAAATTCACCTTAGTACAGTCTTTGAGTATTCACACTTGTGTATTTAATCAAGGGTATAGTTGAGTATTTTTGTTTTGGTCAGGAAAGCCTTCAAGATTCACACACTTGCTTGATCTGTATTTCATTCGTTATTCTCGAGATGGATAACTTGTTTTTGAATAATCACGGTCAGCAATAGTTTTTTTGTCTCAAACGATATTGTTAACCTACATTTGATTATCAAGCCAAACACAGTGGAGTATGGAGAGAAATAAACAATCGCTATCATTATTGTTAATATGCTCACTAACCAAACATTTTCCACGTCTTGTTCCTATACCTGGCGATGGCGCGGTATTTGCCATTAGAGCATCTGGTCCATACACAAATATGTCACTCTGTGGTTTATATTGAAACGAACATCCTTGAAAATTGAATAAACCTGCTGTTAATGCAGGTAGAATATTCTCCCCACACAGATTATTTGTTGCATTGCATACATATGGCACGGCATTGGTGGTTACTTCACATATTTATTCGAGTTAATTGTTTCGGATTCGCTAGTGTCACTTCTGATCCTAATAAAACAATCTACTATTAATTGCTTCATCCAGAAAAAATTTTTGTAGCTGGCCAGATAGGGTTGGTGTCGGGTAGCATGGAAATGGTGAAAGGAGGCGTTAAATCTGAATGCCGGTTGGCCCTTAGGCACTTAAAAAGACTGTTGAAGGCTGTGGATTCGAATTTTAGTTTAAGTAACGTAGTGCAGGTCAGTGTCTTTTTTCTGATGAACTTATTTTTGGATTGGCACATACCGGAAGTGACATAAACATTTTTTTTTAGGGTACATGTTATGTGACAGATAAGTCGTATATTGAAACGGCTAGGAAAATGTGGGAAAGCAGGACCAATAATGCCTTAGTGGAATATGTGGTGGTGACAGGTCTACCTAGGGGCAGTGCTGTCGAATGGCATGTTTGGGCTCACAAATACAACAATCAATTCGATTGTAAGTACCTGATGTTTCTAAAAAAATTACAATTTATGGAAATAATCTATTTTTGAAATTAGTAAAAATATCTCTTTACAAATATGCAATAGAATATAGCGCGTTTAATTTAAAAGTCACTTTTTTACACCCCCTGTATACGGAATGAGAGAATAAAATTTCAAGGGAACCATCTTAAAGAGAACAGTGTTCTGTCCAGGGTAACCAGCTATGAAAATCAAGATTTGAACATTAAATCTCAGAAACTAATTCTGATTCATTTTTGATCATTTTTCCCTCATTCCTCTTCTCTATAATTGTATATTATATAACTAGTGTGCAAAGTGACATATTTCGCGCAAGTGACGTTTAGAACGAATCACAGAGCAGCGAGTGCGGAAACGAAATGAGCGCAGGAAATGCACTTTCCAACGAGTTTTGTACACTAATTTTTCTACCACCACAAATATTTAAATTATATAAGATCATAATAAGTGTTTATGAGACCAGAGTAAGTATCATGTTTCTAATCATATTCGATCACATGAAGGTGATATTATCATCATTATTATTCAATTTTACTTCAATATTCATTAACTTAACGTTAACTTGACATCAACTTAACATTCACTCAACATTAACTTAATGTTAACTTAATATTAACTCAACATTAACTTAATATCAATTGACTGTACATTTAACATTGAATTGCCAATACGTTGACATTAATTTAACCTTCAATTGATATTGACTTAATTTTAACTTTTCATCAACTTAACATTATGTCAACATCAACGCCAATAACTTGATTTCAAATCGACACGAACTTATTAATTTGCCCATAACTTAACATTAGCTTAAGATGTAAGTCTGAGTATAAGAAGAATTAAAGTGTGAGACCAACTCTTTGTTTGTACGTCCATGAACAGAGGAATGAATGTATATACATTGATAGCAAGTATTAAGGCGGGTTTAGCCAGCTTATAATGTATAATGGATAATTTATAGTGTGTAATGCATAATTTTAAAACTCAAGTTTCAAATGTACCCGTTTATACAACTCACAGTGCACTCGCAATATAATGCATTATGCACTAATCGCACTATGCAAATTACGCTTGTGCGCATGCGCCTGTCAAAAACGTCAAATTGTCACTTTACAGCGAAGCTTTTATCACTTGCAATAGTTGCAATTAATCCTTTTTACCTTCATGATAGGTAGATTAATAATTGATTAAGCGAATTCAAAATGGAAAAAACACACACACAAACAACACAAAGTGAGGTTAACAACTCTTGCCGAATCTGTCACTTCTGTCATTAGAATTATGCATTGTATAAACACTCCTTTCTGTTGTGCATCAACGACAATAATTCGATTTCAAATCGACACGAACGTATTAATTTGTCCATAACTTAACATTACCTTAAGATGTAAGTCTGAGTGTAAGAAGAATAAAGTGTGAGACCAACGGAAATGAATGTATATACATTGATAGCATACTATAATAATTATCCAGTAATTTCTTTCGCTGTCATCATAACAAAATCACAGCGACTTATGGGAATTTTCATAACTGAGTTAAGTTGTCAACAGTAAAATCACAAGAGCTTTTCATCGGATAAATTTCTCTTGCTAACGAAAAACATTTGCCGATCAGTATTTTACGAGAAAAACTGACATGAAAATATTGCGAGACCGATCCAATTGGAAAAAGAGTTCCAGTGTTTTTTGGCAAGATGAATCAAAGACAATATACAAATAAACAACAATAAGGATTACCTTTATTGATGATTTCGTGTTACTGGTAGTTTGTGAAATTGATTTTCTTATACATTTTGTGGTTTCTTCAGACGAAATTTTCCTAAAACGGCTCGTTGCTAATGGGCGTGTACACCTTAGTAGAACTTTTAACGCAAACCATGTTTATAATGATCCTTTTATACATAAATAATGATTGACGACATAATTCGATCGAAAAATTAAATGGAATGTTTTATTTTTGAACATAAATAATAGTACCTTCTGAAAACGGACCCTCTTATGACGTAGAAACCTCATCTCGCCATAGTTAAAAGAAAATATCAAACGTCCGACGGAGACTGAGGCAACTGATATATTAATTCTTTCAACTGTGAGAAATCATGTATCATTCATCTCTGTCTGCAATAGTCTTGTTTCAGTATTAGGGTTTTGACGTCACATCATCGCCTCGTTTTCAGAAATCTGAAAATTCGGGGATTTCAATAATTTTTTAAAAAACGTAGGGAGCTCACAGCAAGAAACGGTTTGCGGTGGTGAGCTAGTTTGGGTGAGTTCTATCGAATTATGAAATAATTTTTTTGGTCATATAAGCCCATTTACGCGCGAACAATACCAAACAATCAAACTTGACACGACAGAAATTGAAGTGACGCATACCTACTTGATGAAAAGAACAGGCAGTTACAGCGTTGTCCTTGTAGCCATCTTAGTTAAAATAGATGCATCCTTTTTTATCGATGTCAAAATGACTCGCGTCATCGTCAAATAGCATTTTCTGTGGAGGAGTTGATTCATCAATGAACATTTCCATTATTGCGAAAAGATGAGCAACCATTGACAGCTGACATGATCTCTAACCCTACCCGCTATTTTTCCTCCACCATTGCATTTTTCGTGTGGGGAATCAAGATGTCTGAAATTTTCAGACGAAGAAAGAGGCAAGTGCATCGACAAATACTCGATATCGATCTACCGTCGCTGGAACCACGAGAGCAACCAGGCCGCCATCTTGTGTCACGTGGCCCACCCGGAGGCCGACGTCACCATGGACGACGACGTGTTCCGCGAAGCTATGGGCTACACCATCGAAAAATTGCGCCAAGGTCACGAGGAAGACAAGGCTTCGGCCATCAGCCTCAGGATCTTTTATTCCGTCAGCAAAGGCAAACTGAAGGAATCCAGCCTGTTCGCCGGGTATTTCGCGAATCTCGCCAACGACATGGCGCTGAGTTTCACTCTAGTGCCTGTCGTTGCTCTCAGAAACGAACAGACGATTCTGTCGATATGCGGGGTCAAAGTTCCATGAAACTGAATGAGGGATAGAGTGGTAAGATTGATGAACTATACAGTGTGTCCCACTTACCATGCTCACCATGGGTATCTTTTTAACGGTGAGAGATACGAGGTCGGTTAAATGACACCAAATGTGGAGTTTGTCAAGGCCAACTATAATGTGAAAAAATATTTTGATTAAATCTATTCGTTTTTGTTTTATACGCAAAAAACAGATTTTGATCATTTTCATGTCTCCTCCGTTACTTCTTTATTTTTGAAAATATTCAAATAGGAATTCCACATTCTCATGGCAGTTTTTGAAAGTGATTTCGAAATAAATATGAAATTTATACCAACTCTTCTAGAATTTGAGATATCAGCACCAACTTTAGTTTTTTAAATGTAGGTCATAGGCTATGACTTAGTTACAAATAACTTTTTTTTCTCTTCCAGATGATATGTCGCAGTAATAGTTTTGTGTTGATAACAACGGAGTTATCGTCATTTATACAAAAACAAAAAATTATTTGGAAGTCGCCATCTTGAATTTATAAATTTTAACAAAAAAATCATGATCTCCGACCTCAAAAACCCCCACTTACCAATTTTGAATGGAATCGGACCAAATCTTGTCCGCCATCTTGGAGCAGCCATTTTTTTGTTATTTCAACAAAAATTCCATAACTCCGATTAACTTGAAATTTGGCAGGTGTTCATAATTTCGGTGACAATACATTATGGAAATATTGTTGAAATTAAAAAAAATGGCTGCTCCAAGATGGCGGACAAGATTTGGTCCGATTTCATTCAAAATTGGTAAGTGGGGGTTTTTGAGGTCGGAGATCATGATTTTTTTGTTAAAATTTATAAATTCAAGATGGCGGCTTCCAAATAATTTTTTGTGTTTGTATAAATGACGATAACTCCGTTGTTATCAACACAAAACTATTACTGCGACATATAATCTGAAAGAGAAAAAAAAGTTATTTGTAACTAAGTCATAGTGAGCTATGACCTACATTTGAAAAACTAAAGTTGGTGCTGATATCTCAAATTCTAGAAGAGTTGGTATAAATTTCATATTTTTTTCGAAATCACTTCGAAAAACTGCCATGAGAATGTGAAATTCCTATTTGAATATTTTCGTAAATAAAGAAGTTACGGAGGAGACATGAACATGATCAAAATCTGTTTTTTGCGTATAAATCAAGAACGAATAGATTTCATCAAAATATTTTTTCACATTATAGTTGGCCTTGACAAACTCCACATTTGGTGTCATTTAACCGACCTCGTATCTCTCACCGTTAAAAAGATACCCATGGTGAGCATGGTAAGTGAGACACACTGTAGTATGTTCCAGTTAAGAATGAAGTAGATGACATGGATGGCAAGGCCCACTTCAAATTATTAAACCCGCCAAATACATATGTTACGGGCAATGTAAATAATTGGGCATTATTTATAAGGCACTGTCTACACGATCGCCGCGGTTGTTGGATACTGAAACATAAACAGCCGCCGTGGCGGTCGTGTAGACAGTATCTATTTATAATGCCCGGTCAATTTTGGAACTGTCCGAAGGGATTGGACAAAATGATAACTTATATAGAAAATATCACATGGCCCGGACATTATGAATAATGTTGGACGTCGAGTGGGCAATTCGAGAATATTTTTATTCATATTTAAAGTACTTTTTTCAGGAAGGAAAATATCCCTGCATAAAAAAGAAGACTACTTTTTCAGGGAGGAAGGAATATTTCCCTCCTGCATAAAAAAGGACACTACTTTTTTGAACCAAACCTTAGGGTAAAGACACACGGAGCGGTTTTGGCCGAGTCGGCAGTCGTCGAGTGAAAACACACGAGTCTGTCGCTGAGGCGGCATTTGAAACACTAAACGCTGAGATGTTGTCAGTTTGTTGATACCAATAATTATATCTGATGCGTAGATATGGAGTCTGATTCTGAAGAAGAGTTTCTGACATCATTAGGACTGATTTATTGTCGATTAAAAAAAAAACGAAACAGGCGTATATGGATACACCCTCTTGTGCAGAATAAAATTGAATAAAGTATGTTTTATACTTTATTCAATAATGAAATCGAAGGTGATGACGAGAAATTTTTTAATTTTGTCCGAGTGTCTCAAGATTCATTTTGTGAACTTTTGAATCTGATAGAAGAATAAATATCAAAGCAAGATACGGTAATGAGATCAAGTATTCCGGCAAAAGAAAAACTGGTGATAACACTCAGGTAAGACACAATTCATTTTCGGTTTTTATAAGCTATTAAGAAAAATATTAGTACAAATGAAGCATGAACGTTACAAAATGAATAACAATGTATTAACTAATCTTTATCTTGGTGCAAAAAGTTCTACGAAAGACTGTATTGAATTGGTTGGTGATTGTAATGGTGATGACCGTTTCCTGCGACTGTTGTGGCGCGATGACAGTTGTGATTGAATTTGATATTGCTGTATTTCGCTGAGTGGTTGTGACTGATGTGTGAAAGATTGGTGTGGTTGTGAATATAACTGATTTTGATGTAATTGAGGTTGAGGTGTGTACTGGGGTTGGGGTTGGGGTTTTCCATCGCAATTTGACAACAATGCCTGTCTTCCGCCGCTGAAAAACCGCTCGCCGTGTGTATGCTCTCACTTGAAACAATTGTCTGAGCATACGCGGGAAGCAATAAAAACGCGTTCGGCACATCATCCAGATCATCGTACGCGAGGCAGCAGCGCTGCTCCATCACGCCCCATGGTCTATATGTTTTGTTTCATTTGAAATACTGTGATCAGAGGCCGAGTCGGCTGCCGACTCGACCAAAACCGCTCCGTGTGTCTTTACCCTTACTCTGTTTAAATGAACCTTCATCAAAAATGAATGCTGACTGGCCAGCGAGAATCACACCATACGCACGTTGCCAAATCGCTGTTACTTAATCAAAGTGCCCAGAAAATAATAGCAGTATTTATAATGACCTGGCAATGTAATGAATTATCGTAGACAAATACCAAATTATTAAATTGCCCGATGGTGTTGGGAACTTTATGCATGGAATAATCAAGTTGCCCGTAACATACATAATATACATTTTATAATGAATTCAGAGTTAACTGCTGAACCAATTATATTATGTTTGTGTAGCATTGAGAGTATAATTTGCAGAATCCCTAGTAATATTATAAATGTGAAAATAAGTTTGTTTGTTACGCCTAATCGCCAAAACTTTTCAACCAATTATCATGAAACTTTGTATACCTATTCTTAGATGTATTAGAAAGGACAAAGGATGCTTTTTAATAAAAAACAACTTTACGGAGGGTAAAAAACAATATTTTGGCAGACATGATGAATCAAGCAACTCAATATATTATACACTATAGCTTCAACTGTTTATATTTGATATTATTTTGTGAAATTTTTGAGGTTAGGTGTCAGTTTATTGTTTTATCTATACTCACTGCATCGAAAGTAAGCATTTGCTCCCTTATTTAAGGACACAAACCTGTCAATTTACTCCCGTGGGAGGTAAAATAAATTGGCTGTAGCTTGCTTCTTCATTCTTGACTGGAATGTACTGTAGACAGGTTGCTTTATGAATAGGGTAAACTCGTGTGTATTTCACACTCAAATATCGTTTTTTTATTACTCATAATTATTGTAAAAGTCGCATTATACCATTAAAAACCATGATGAAAAATTTGATATTTCATTATTCCATTATTGTAAACGGTTATTGAGCATTTTTTCATTAAATTATTAGTTGAAAGGTGGTTGTTCTTGAGTGTGCCATGAGGTATACCCAGCGAGCACAAAAACATCTCAGAGATGTTAAAAGTACGAGATTTCGAGACATTGAACCTCCACTGCGATGTTCTGTTCACACATGAATAGAACTATTATAGAACAGCCAATGTCCGCCGCAGGCGGCAATTATCGAGATGTCCTTGATATGTCACAAAACTACCTTCTCCCTTGTTCTTTTTAAAGCCTTTCCATGGACACAACAGAACATTTTCAACGCGTCTTGCGAACATTAAATCGCTGTAAAAAAACATTTTCGAGGTACTTTTCTGAAGCCTTTTGTCAAAATGAACTTTTGCATTAGGATTCCATTTTCCTTGAATGAAAAAATGCATTAAAAATAGATTGAACATACAAATATTTTCTTGATATGAAATTACCTTCCGGTTTCTGAGTAGTGCTTACTACACACAGACATATAATTGGAAATAGGTTTCCCAATTTTTGAAATGTTCTCCACAATGCATAATTTCGCAACTGCGGAGAAGCTGTGTATTGATGAATTCGTACTTTTATATATTGATTACACTGAGGCACCGAACAACACATCTTGCATCTGATGGTCATTATTACAAACTAAATAAGTCTTCTAACACAATAAACTTCACCAAATTCCTTTCTGTTCGTTAGCAGCGTGATGTAAGCGTGACACGCTGCAAACGCGAATGCCAATTGCGAACAAGAAGAACAAAATCGAAAACAAATCAGAATTCATCGTATTGTGACGTAAGCATGAGACGCTGTGGTGGGACAAACAAAGAAAGGGCACAAAAGAACAAAAACAATACTTTCAATATCCTTTTAAGACCTCTTTGGGAAGTGCATATTACGCCTCAAAAAAACATCCTCATGCCTACATTTCTAAAACATCCCAGGGATACCTCTCAGTAAGCAAACAAAGAAATGCCACAGAAGAACAATAACAATACTTCAATATCCTTCAAAGACCTCTTTGGTCAGTGCATATTACGTCTCAAAATAACATCTTCATGCCAACATTTTCAAAACATCCCAGGGATGTTTGTGCTCGCTGGGATGTGGCCTAATATACTGACGTCATAATATTAGTCATATTAGCGTTTCATCACATTGAGTATCCCAGAACAAAAGTTTTTAGTAACGGAGATACAGAGAGTGTCAAATGTCAATGACCTCTCTTTCTAATAGTTCCATCGATTGTTTTGAGATGTTTCGAGAATCTTCCGTCGCCACGATATGTATTGAGTGTTCGGGAAGTCGGTACATCGGGATGTTCGAGAACAATCTAGAATCTATAATAGTTATTCATGTATCAAGGGTGCAAAATAAGGAAGGTGTATAAATAGATCTAGACCGTTTTGTCCAGAGCATAATCCAATAATAAAATCCAAATCTTACTGAAGTGTCATGTCTGCAATTAGTCTGTCAAATGTCGTGTCCTAATAAAAAACCAAACAATACTTATTAATCATTTATTTTGTAGGTAGGCAAAACAGCTTCGCCAACATAACATTATAAAAATATAAAACCTATGTAAATTACAATAACGCTGAATGGCCAAGAAAATAAATTGCATTTTCAAAATTATGATTTCCATGTCTGAATACTGAGATACAACTCGGAATTCTGATATACTGTGTCCCAGATTGGTGCTGCATATATTACTATCTCGGTTATTATAAGAATATAAGAGCTAAAAGTCGTTTAAAAGGGTAAAGTTTCTCAGAACTCTATTACCATTTTAGAACTTCCATCAGATTTTTTCGATCGTTTTCTGATTTTGAAATAATTGTGAAAAACCAAATTGATGCGTTTTAGACAAACCCCCGTATCTCCGTTATTTGAAAACATAATTTTGGCTTAGACACATTTTCATGAGCACTTTTTCAAGAACGTTTGAATAAAAATTAAACCAATAAAATATCTTCCTACGTTTTCGAAATAGCTTCGTTTTTCCTTATGGACGCCATATTGGATTTTTATTTCATTAATCAGGATTTTCAATCCTCTTTTCGAGAGTACTTGAAAAAGTGTCTATGAAGTGTCTGCGCCAAATTACCGTATGTTTTCAAATAACGAAGATACAGGGGATTGTCGAAAATGCACCATTTTGTTTTTTTGCGATTATTTCAAAAACAAAAAACGATCATTAAAATCTGATGGCAGTTCTGAAATGGTAATAGAATTCTGAGAAACATTGCCCATTCGAACGACTGTGTAGATCTTATAATAACCAAGATAGCAATACAGGCAGCATCCATCTGGGACATCTGGGTGTATAAGCAGTAGCTCAGAATTTCGACTAATATACCAGAATTCTCACAAACAAGTCAGAAAATTGAGACTTTGATTTTTTTTGTCAGAATTACCAGTTTTTCGTGAACAATCTTCTGACTATCTCTGTGAGAAAAGGCAAATATACTTATCAATATATTTCAAACTGGGAAACTATGATGGAGCTTTCATCAGAGTGTTAGAAGAAATCTTCATTATTGTAAATATAAATTTTATAACAGCCTTTTCATATGAAATCATTTCCAAATCTAACTTTATGCATCTTTGGATTTTTTTGCTGTAGAGCTTGAAGAATCTTCTTCATCAGAATAATTGGTGGGTTTCTCGCCAGGTTTCAACAATCTTCCAACGACGTCATATCTCTCTGTAGAAATAAAGATTTGTGGAGACTAATAATATCACCGAATCATTCATATTAAAAACAGAAATAAAGATTATTCTCATGATTTTCCCCTCTTGCAAATTGTGGGTATACCTACCTACATACATGAAATATATTTTTGTACCATTTGTTATTTTCAATTGATCAAGGTGAAATTATTGAGAAATATTCAATGTTAGTTGAAATCAAGGCAAGTCATCATGTTTATTTAATGAATAGAGTATTCAAAAGTTTATCACATTATTGGGTGATATCATTTGATTCAAGATTCGTATCAGGTACAAGATATGATAAACATTATGTTACATAATGTACAATGATACATGTCACAATTTTGAAATATATTGGTATACTACAAACGAACATAAAGAGAAATGATCAACATTTGTGTTGTTCATTAACTAACTAAAATAGATAGATAGATATTCTGCACTTTCATAATAGAATTGAATTATGAAAAGAAAAAATGCGATTTTCAATGTTTCACATTTACTTTCTGCGCACCCTGTAAATTATTCAGTGGTTGTGATTATGTTGAGTCATCCGTTCAACCTTCGATATTCACGATTTAATCACTGCATATCACTAAAAATTGTAATTCACATGGAAATGCCGTATGTTCAATTGGCTAGATTTGTCACTTTTTCTAAAAAACTAGAATAACTCAAAAAAAGTTGAGTTTAGATATAGGGTATGATACGCATGAATTTGAACCAAAATCATGACCGAAATTCATAAATGTTATGAAATTCAGGGCGTCCCATTGAAGATAACAAAGATGACGTCACTTCCGGAAAAACCGGAAGCTTCACAATATCGAAAATATTTTAGTTGGATTCTCCATGTTCCCTCCATCGTTCGAATCGTACGAATTTTCAAAATAATGCTGCTTACTTTTGAGTCCATATACGTTAGCTCATCAAAAGTGGATGATTGAAATTGTTGCAGTGATTATTAAATATTCATTATTTATTCTTGAGATCCGCTATCCTGACATGCAGGGATCAAACAACATTTTAAATATGGTGAATGCTGAAATTTTCGAATAATTAATTACCTTTCCAATATTTTGATTTGTTTTGTTTTTGTAAATACACATTTATTGTTTATTGAGAAACTAGCTTCCACTCAGAAATAAAATTCTGGTATGAGGAAGTTGATTACAAACAATAATAATAGAATAACATAAGGTGACAACAACAAAAAAATCTAAATCTGAAAATGCTAAATCGATCAAGTCATGAAAATAGTAACAGGGACTAATCAGTAGATGGCAAAGGATCAATTTAATCAATTTCGTAATCAAATCGTGTATTTTTTTAATTCAATTTTAAATTTTGAAATATGTCTGCAATTTTTTATATTATGTAGTAATTTATTGAAGCTAGGGCAGCGTGAGTGGATTTTTTTGGCCAATTATAGAAGTAGCAGAATCAAGATGAAATAAGTTTAATTGTCTCCTGTGATGACCATAATTTTCTGAATTTCTTAGAAAAACAAAATTGGATTTCAGATTATTGTTTATGATATTATATGAAACTTCAGGCGAATCTATTTTATACAATTCATCCAATGAACATTTTTCTGTTATCGCATACAGATCATTTGTTGGGATATCAAATGAGAGGCGATACAATACTTTCAGTGATTTCTTATAAAGTGCAGATATTTTACTGAAATAATTTTTTGAACAAGATCCCCAAACGTTTATCATATAGGTAATACAACTGAGTATATAAGAATGAAGTACTAGGTATGTTTATGACTTTTTTTATCAAGTTTAGGACATTAATTAAATTATTTTCAATTCATCAATAACTGAATCCCGAGTTGAATCCTAGGCATTGCTTTGTATTTCACAGAATAGTTTCTCCATTACTCAATTCAAAAATAAATCCAAGCCACTGCTACACCCCATTAAATGTATCAACATTATATTCATTCATAAGTACTACTTGGTATTAGAAGAACATTTTTTTGGTAGGTAGTATATCTTACCTTGGAACTGTGATTCCCAATCTCTCAGTGAATCCATGTCCATAGCACTCAAATCACTCAGATCATCATACTCTTCAGCTGAGGCTGATACATCGGCAGTAGCCAAGCCCCTCGATGCATCTCTGCCTCCGAAAGCTTCATATGGGCCCCCTAAAAAATAAGAGAAATTAATTTGTATTTTCTCATGGCTATGTTAGGCCCAGATGAAGCTCAGGTACATTTGTAAGTTAATTGACAATTGGTTGATTATATAATTAATAATATCGTGTTTTGCGCACAACAAACTTAACACAAAAGGCAGGGGTTAGCCTATGGCTATCTTTATCCTCCCCCCTTAAAATCCAATTCCACAACATACGTATCTATATTCGAGCGTTCTCTCAATACATTGTTTAGTATTGACCAAAAAAGTGCAGTCAATATTCTCAATTTGTTCAAGTTTCAAAATTTATGAAATATAATTTTGTAATAGTGTAAGCCATATTAAATAATCTAATTAGTTTTTTTTACACTTGAAAAAAAAAAGAATAAGAGAACAGTAGGTATAATAGAAATAACAATTATACTAGCCTGTTATACTTGATATCAGAATATTTTTTAGTTTATATCTCACTTGAAATTCTGTTGAATTCAATAATGAAATGAACTTTTTCAAATAAGATAGTGCCAAAAATGAAAAACATCCTTCTTATTTCGATGTAACATTATGGGGAATGCTGAAAGTATCTGATCTTATGTTATCGGCGTGATATAAGTTCGAATAAATAATTGGGTGTTTTGATTTTCAAAAGTTTGAATGAAAATATCTTTAGCAGGTACTGCATCTATTCTACAATACAATCCATATTTAATTTAATATGCAAATTTAATTGGATAGTTTTCTGAATGTAAAATTAATTACAATCATCATTGCATTGATGAAATTAACCTCATCATTGCCATTGAAGTACTATTAGTTTTGATATGGCACCACAGAGAAGTGCACAAAAACGGCCAGGATTGAATTGGGTTTGGAAAATTGGTGGGAAGCAAGTATACCAAATTGCTCATTAATTGATGGAACAATTTTTCTTCTATCACTTCCAGTTTCACCGGAAACGACCCCAACTTTTGATTTTAAAATGGGACACCCTGTATTGTATTTCATAATCGTTTAGTGATTATCATAACGAATTCAACGATACCGGGTTTTACAGGGTTATTTCGAACAATCACAAAGATATTTGCGTTCGAAGTTTTCATATACCGGGTGGCTACGGAAGTATTGCCTACGGAATATCTCAGTTATTGTATAAAGTAGGTTTGTGAAATTTGGTTCGTCGATATAATGACATAAGAGCTAGAATTTGAGCATATTGACATGTCGAAGTTAACTTCTGGTCTGACCGGAAGTAACATCAACTTTCTTATTTTAAATGGAAACCCTATTTTTTTTTCTTTCCGCTTTATTCAACATTCAATTCCCTTTCTAATGACATATCACAAGTTGGTATCTAACCAGAAACTAGATCAGAAAAAAATTATTATTGAAATTCACCGAGTAGGCCGTGGAAGCAAAATGAAAGCCAAAAAATGACTTTCTATTATATCATTAGAAAGGAATGGTTATGCTGAATAGTACAGGCAAGAAAAAGTTGTATGTTCCTATTTAAGTTATGGACCTACAGAGTATTGTATTTTTCCCAATTTTTCCAATATTTTTTTTGGCGGCTTTTTATAACGCCGACGAATGAAAATAAAATATCACAGTAGTAGCAACTGTCATCGAGTGACGTATGGTTTCCATAGCCAACTTTTCAATTTTTGGCTTTCATTTTGCTACCACGGCCTACTCGGTGAATTTCAATAATAATTTTTTTCTGATCTAGTTTCTGGTTAGATATCAACTTGTGATATGTCAATAGAAAGGGAATTGAATGCTGAATAAAGCGAAAAGAAAAAAAAATAGGGTTTCCATTTAAAATAAGAAAGTTGATGTTACTTCCGGTGAAACCGGAAGTTAACTTCAACATGTCAATATGCTCTGATTCTAGCTCTTATGTCATCATATCGACGCTCCAAATTTCACAAACCCACTTCATACAATAACTGAGATATTCCGTAGGCAATACTTCCGTAGCCACCCGGTATATGCTCAATATTGGTGTGACTTCGTAATATCTGCGTAATCGTTTGAAATAACCCTATCAAACCCGGTATCGATGAAATCGGTATGATAATCCCTATCCGATTATGGAATACAATACAGGGTGTCCCATTTAAGAATCAGAAGTTGGGGTCGTTTCCAGTAAAACCGAAAGTGATAGATAGATATATCCAAGGATAATTTTTTTTTAAATCACGATATATCCTTTGATACTCCAGATCACGGTGATATGAATATGAACAAACCAATTCAAATTACAGTTGATAGAACAGAAAGAGAGGCCAGATATTTTTTAGGGTCTTTTTTCTTGATATATATATATATTTTTTTCAAAGTTGTATCATTATTCGTTGCTGAGATATGGCCGACAAATGCCGTTCTTAGTTGTTCACCCTGTACAACACATGAGGATTTCAGCTTCCAAAAATCACGTATATCTCAGTCATATCATTAGCTTGAACATTAGACTATGTATGCAAAATAATATCATAATCAGATCATTTCTTTCTCTTACCTGGGCCATAAAACCGTTTTCCTTTCGTCACATCATACACTGTTCCATTCACAGCTACCAGTACCCTACCATCTTCTTGAGTACCGTCATATTGTGTCAGTTCTTTCAAGGTGAAATCCCTTTTTTTCAATTTCGGAAGTTGAGGTGCCGGTGGAGGCACAGCGAAATCGTTTCCTCGACTCTTGATTATTTTGTAAACTAGGAACACTACTAGGGACACTAGGGCGATGTATACGGGGCTCTGGATTATTTCGAAGAACAAGTTCGTCAGAAGACCTGACTTCAGGGTCTCTTCCGCCATATCGAGTAGAGAATAATAAATTATATAATCTTAGATTAGAATACGCGTTGTGTCAAGGACGGACTCGGTTCGGATTCTAACGGTTAGTTCCCAATGAAATAACTTTTTATTGTCGCTTTGACTGAAGTATGCATCAAAAAATCATGAGAATACTGAAAATATTGGAGAATGATTGTATGATATAAAGCTGATAAGTACACTTCATTTAAGATAATTGCTGTCACCACGTCACCAGATATTCATAAGGAACCCGATGATACTGCAATTATTTACTTGTACCATGAGATTGCAAAAACGATTGATAAACTTATAATAAACACTCTAATGTTCTCAATCTTCCTGAGAATACCAGAACATATTGATGATTTGTTTTTTTGCCAAATCATGAGTCAACTATATTCGATCTACTCGCGATGCTCTTATTTTTGAGCGAAGCTAAAAAGATTTGCTACAACTCTCTATACTTCTGACAATTTTCATCGTATTGTTTTTTCGTCAATATTATAAGCATATAGACCTAAAACTTGAAATTCCACTTTTTGCAAAAAGTAACCCATTTTTTGAGTGCTCTCGGACACTGTTTGACCTACAGTTCTGCGGATTCAAATTATGACAAATTTGGAGTTTCAAAAAGGTAAGTTTTTTTTACTACCTTACATACTCTTTGGAATTATAAGCGAAAAGACAAAAAAAACGCGAAATATGTCAAAACGAACGGGATTTTTTTTTTACTGAATCTTGGAAATAATTCCAATATACAGGGTGATTCACATAAGAACCGACATAGAACAGGGGCATGTAGGGGGTCCCAAAATATGGCAATTTAACGCAACTTACCTCTATACCAAGTTGCTTCCCTAAGGAGATATAGGCTTTGAAAGTGAAGTTATAAATTTTGAAAAAATCATTATCTTCGTTATTCTTGAACTTAAAGCAACCAAATTTGGTACACTTTGTGGATGTATTCAGGGCGTTACTTGACAGTAACTAGTGTTTAATTGAAATTTGTAAAGGGGGTATACCGGGTGGCGCACCATTAATATTCAACATAATTCTGTTAACCCTTGATGGATTTCAAAAATCTTTGCTTTGTTTTGTGGGCAATTCAATTCTTAAACTTTTTTTACTCCAGTAATTTTTCGAAAAACCTCATCATTTTCATCAAAAACTCGAATAACTGAAAAAGCGCGCTCTAGGTGTGTTATTTAAAATCATCGAAAATTCAAAAGTTGGCTATGAAAATAAACGTCAAACTTGACAATGAGGCAAGTGAGTTGATCAATTGAGTAATTGTTGTTTGAGTGTTTTAAAAAAATGAACGGGAAGTTTTCTTTTAACGAGCAAGTTGACATGCTGTTAGTGCTATGCCTATAACTCCTTAGGGAAGTAACTTGGTATAGAGGTAAGTTGCGTTAAATTGCCATATTCTGGGACCCCCTACATGCCCCTGCCCTATGTCGGTTGTTATGTGAATCACCCTGTATTCAAAATTGAAAGAGTTGACGATTTTCAAAGAGTAAGGTACAAACTAAAAGAAATGTCTGAGCATACTTCGAAAAGGGGTAGACAGGTAGAAATAAAGCTTTCCATTTATAATAACGAACAAGTTCCATTCAGTATGAAAATCGTATATTGTTTAACGAGCACGGAATGATAGTGATTTCCTACGAGAATTAAATTTGCAGCATGAGCCATAGGCAAAGAATAAGCTTCAATTTTTTCGAAAAATCTATAGGGTGTTCCATTGAAAATATTGAATTTCTTTCACCTCCAATAATTTTCTGGAAGTTCAGAACAAACCCTTGTATTCGAAGTTGTTTTCTATCTTCAATGATGGACCCGATAGAAGCTGTTTGAATATAAGGAATGACCCTGTACTTTTTAAAATATCTACCCGGATCCGGTTTTATAACAAAATTCTCATTTTTCGTCAATGCACATGATTAGATTTTTTCAAAATTCCACACATTTCTAATAAAATATTGGTTCGAATCTGAAATGTTATAAAGAATTAATGCAACATGAAAATTAATATTGAAAATCTGAAAATATTTTACCTAGAGTGGTCACACCCTGTATATGTCATCATCAAATGATTGAGGAGTTGAGCTGAATTGCAATATTTTGAATACAGGGAACTCCCATTTTCATTTGATCACTTTATACTTACCTTATATTTTTTGGAGACTTCCGATGATAGTTGTGTAGGTTTTTGCTATAGCCTACGTCTCCCTGCAATGTCCATGTTTTTTGGTAAATTTTTGTTGCCATTTATTATACAATGGGCTTATATCACAAAAAATCACCCAAACTAGCTTACCACCGCAAACCGTTTCTTGCTGTGAGCTCCCTACGTTTTATAAAAAATTATTGAAATCCCCGATTTTTCGGACCTCTGAAAACGAGGCGATGATGTGACGTCAAAACCCTAATACTGAAACAAGACTAGTTGCCTCAGTCTCCGTCGGGCGTTTGGTATTTTCTTTCAACTATGGCGAGAAGGTTTCTACGTCATAAGAGGGTCCGTTTTCAGAAGGTACTATTATTTATGTCCAAAAATAAAATATTCCAGTTAATTTTTCGATCGAATTATGTCGCCAATCATTATTCATCGCTCCAAGCGATAAAAAAAATTATAAACATAGTTTGAGTTAAAAGTTCTACCAAGGTGTACACGCCCATTGTCCTGTCCTAATAAAAAACCAAATCAATAATCCTTAATCATTTATTTTATAGGATTCTGTAGCAACCATTTAAAAAAATTAAAAAAACAGGTAGTCAACATTATTTCAACATCATAAGTGAAGCAACAATAATTCAAAAATTTAGGACCCAGGTCAAGACTTCTTTCAGAAAATAGTCCTCGTTTTTGCCTACATCAAGAAAAATATCTGGCAGTTTTATTTCACCAATATAATTTTTGCTCAATTTTAATACATATCCTACTGAGATAATATACTATCTAAAACAATGCAATACCACAACTAATAAATAATTTTAAAACTACACCAGACATTTACAAAATAAACCAACTACCATAAGTAGAAAAGAATCAGACAAATCACAGAAATTAAAATGGACATGAAAAATGTGGAATGACAATGCTACGCCTTGAAATTCAATTGCCTCATCCATATTTCATATCAATGAATATAAAACAATTCAAATGTTTTGATTTTGCTTTCCATCCTATTAAGTTCATAAGCATATTGTAACAACTGTAAGTAGTGTAAGTGATAAGCAGTCAATCATCAACTGATAACTTATTCTGGGAACCTTTTTCAAAACAACTTTGCCAACATAACATTATAAAAATATAAAACCTCTGTAAATTACTAGAGTGCTGAAGGGCCAAGAGAAAAAAATGTGTTTTCAAAATTCTGATGTCCATGTCTGAATGCTGAGATAAAGTTGGAATTCTGACATTAGCTATGTCTCAGAATTCTGACTAATATCCCAGAATTCTTACATACAAGACAGAAATTTGAGACTTTGATTTTTATGTTGTCCCTGCATGGCATATATACAGGGTGTTTCAAAATAACCTAACCCCCTTGCTAGGGTAGGTAGAACATTGCAAAATAAGGTTTGCTCAGTAAAAAAATGTCGTAACGCCATCCGTTTTCAAGATACAAAGTGTTGAAACAATATTATTTTTACACATTTTTTACGATTATGTTGAAACTACTGGCAACATTGTGATGAAATTTTGTATGGATGTTTCTTGGAATCTGACACATCGCATGCATTCGTTGTTATATCTGACTCTCATAGAGGGCGCTAGTTACACGGTTCATACCGAGTAGTTTTGAACATAACTTTTTTGAGGTTAGATTTTTCAATCCAAATTTGATGTGAACTCGAACATCATTCAATTTCACACCCAAATGGTACTCTTGGTAAAACTCGATACTGTGTTCCGTTTTCGGAATATTTCGATTTGAAAATGATGAAGTGGCAACTGTTGCTGGTATAAAGCTATGTATTAGAGTGAGTATTATGAAAAATTATCACCTATTTATTGAAAACCGAAAGCAACAATACATTTCTGATGCAAAACTCATTGATTTAACAATGAATCACAAGAATAACATCGAAACAGATTTGACTAAGAACATGGATTACACAGTTTTCTTGTATCTTGAGCAGAAAGTCTATGCTACATAGGTAAATTCACGCCAACAGTTGTGAGACATAAATGAACATCACTAAAATGACCTAACATCTGATCCTCAACTGTTCAGAAGAATAAGTCATTCTTAAAAAAAGAATATAGAATCGTGTATTCCTCGAAACGTAGGACACTTTGAACACTTACTCTAACTGATTCAATATTTCATGTTTCTAGTCAAATATCTCTTAATTTTCTACTTATGATTCTTTGTTCCATCAATAACTTCAGCACAAGAATAATTTTATTGTTTTTGTACCTGAATAAATAGGTAACTGAACTCAATAAAATTCATTTTATACCAGCATCATTACTACTCCATTATTTTCAAATCGAAATATTCCGAAAACGGAACATAGTATCGAGTTTCACCAGGAGTACCTTTTTGGTGTAAAATTGAATGATGTTCAAGTTCACATCAAATTTGGATTGAAAAATCTAACCTCAAAAAAGTTATGTTCAAAACTACTCGGTACGAACCGTGTAACTAGCGCCCTCTATGAGAGTCAGATATAAAAAAAATTCATGCGATGTGTCAGATTTCAAGAAACATCCATACTAAATTTCATTACAATGTTGCCAATAGTTTCGGAATAATCGTGATATTTTTTCACTGAGCAAACCCAACTTATTTTGCAATGTTCTACCTACCCTAGCAGAGGGGTTAGGTTTTTTGAAACACCCTGTATATTATAGTAACAATTAGCAGTTTTGTTATGAAAATTTGTCTTCTGACTACCTGTGAGAGAAGGCAAATATTCTTATCAATATATTTTAAACTGGGAAACTATGATGAAGCTTTCAGTGTTATAAGAAATATTTTTTTTTGTAAATATAATTTTCACAACTCAGCCTTTTCATATGAAATTATTTCCAAATCTAACTTTATTCATCTTTGGGTTTTTCTGCTGTAGAGCTTGAAGGTTCATCCTCTTCATCAGAATAATTGGTAGGTTGTTCACCAGGTTTCAACAATCTTCCAATGAAGTCATATTTCTCTGTAGAAATAAAGATACGTGGAGGCTAATAATATCACTGAATCATTCATTCTATAAGGAGGAATGGAAAATAGTCTCCAGAATTTTCCATACTTGTAAACCTCCTAGCAAATTTTGGGTCAATACTTTAAATCTATTTTTCTACCACTTATTTTTTGGTTTTGATTAATGTGAAATTATTGAAAAATATTCAAGAGAGTTAAAAGTACAGGGTGATCAGTTAAGGGTAGCGAGCGGCCATATCTCATCAGATATTGGTCGTATAGATTTGAGAAAAAAAAATCATAATAAAAGTCGCCAAGAGAAATTACTGGAAATTATTTTCGAGTTTGTCAAACGTCCGGTAGAGGGAATAACAACTAACACCAAGTAGAAAAATAGGATTTTTATAGAATTTTGTCTCATGAAAGTATGTCGATGATATCATTTTCATATTTACTGACCATTTCCCTACATTTTTTGTCCAAAACGTTTTGTTCTAGCTATCGAAATAAAGCGGTGGGGGAAGTTCAATTGTTTTTTCGAACAAACCAAGATTTCTCCCGTTTTTTTTGACCGATTTTAGCAAACTCAGGGTAATATGAAAGAGCATAATTTGCCCTACAAAACGCTTATTTGTTTTTGAATTTTTGACTTTTGCTGTCGCCGCTAGATGGCGTTAACTGAAATGTTAGCAAATTTTTGAGTTTTTTTCAAAAAAATCAAATGTGATGGTATATAAATTTTTATATGTTTTGAAAGAGGATAAATTTCTCTATGATTCTATGAAAATAATTTATCATCTACCTTTTTTTGAATCGTTGATATTGACCATAATATAATTTTATTACATTAAAAAATGGCACGCCACTGTTTTTTATAAAAAAAATCAGTTTTGTAATCTCTCATTAGTTGCTAACAAAAATAACCTCTTGACTTTTTTCGTTGGACAAACGGTTTTGGATTGAAAAAATGAAATAGGTTTACATACTGGTTCAAAATTATTTTAGATATTGGCGTCCCATGTAAACCTATTTTATTTTTTCAATCCAAAACCGTTTGTCTAACGAAAAAAATTCAATCGGTCATTTTTGTTAGCAACTAATGAGAGATTACAAAACTGATTTTTATTTTGATAAAAAACAGTGGCGTGCCATTTTTTAATGTAATGAAATTATATTATGGTCAATATCAACGATTCAAAAAAAGGTAGATGATAAATTATTTTCATTAAATTATAGAGAAATTTATCCTCTTTCAAAACATGTAAAAATTTATATACCATCACATTTGATTTTTTTGGAAAAAACTTAAAAATTGCTAACATTTCAGTTAACGCCATCTAGCGGCGACAGCAAAAGTCAAAAATTCAAAACCAAATAAGCGTTTTGTAGGGCAAATTATGCTCTTTCATATTACCCTGAGTTTACTAAAATCGGTCGAAATAAACGGGTGAAATCTTGGTTTGTTTGAAAAAACAATTGAACTTTCCCCACCGCTTCATTTCGAAAAAATGTAGAGAAATGGTCAGTAAATATGAAAATGATATCATCGACATACTTTCATGAGACAAAATTCGATAAAAATCCCATTTTTCTACTTGGTGTTGGTTGTTACGCCCTCTAGCGGACGTTTGACAAACTTGAAAATAATTTCCAGCAATTTCTCTTGGCGACTTCTATCATGATTTTTTTCTTCTCAAATCTATACGACCAATATCTTAGGAGATATGACCGCTCGCTACCCTTAACTGATCACCCTGTACATGAAACATTCATAAAATTCGTAAGGAAGGAATGCAAGTCATCTTGTTTAATTAATGAATAAAATATTGAAGAGTTCATCACATTATTTGGTAATATACATATACATTTGATATCACTAGAAACTGATTTATTTTGAAGCAATTGTAGCTATCTAAATTCTCAAGGCTGTTGAAAACAACAGACTATCATTTTCACCACATCAGTTGACAGCTATTAGTGCAATTAGTGTTATGACCATGAATAATAAGCCCAAAAATTTATTTGTTCTACAAAATGAGTAATTCAAAGTTATTGCTTATAAGACAAAATTGTCAAATTTCATCTACAATATCTGAGTGATTTCAGATCTGTGATTTGTAATTTTTAATTCCATGACATTCATTCTATATACCTACACAATAGAAACAATGGAATATCAAATAGAGTTAAAGTCAAACCCAGGCTAAAAATAAAACAGGAAAGCCATGGCACAGTGACGTTCAAAGATTAAATTGATACTGTTTTAATTGCATGAACATTTCCCAGTGATACCTGATAATTAGGTACAAAGGTTTTCACAAACCAACTTATAGGATATTGAATTTATACAGGGAGTTTCATTATAAAACGGACATACTGCAGCCCAACCTTGAGAACAATGTCTGGTTCTAGCCACTGTATTATACACATGTTGAAATGTGCAATCTGAAATTTTATTGATTATCTCAACCTATATCTTATATCTTACAAAAAATCAATTATCCATTCTAGGAGAAAAAAATAACCTTGCATCACCTAAAAACACTTGAAGATTGTATATATGACACACTATATGCAACACACATCACATCATTATAAAAAGAAGACCACAAATTCAATTTGCCTTGGGAAATTTACTAGTGATAAAGTGATTGTTATTTCTCTCAAATTCATGAAGAAAATGATTATTCCAAAAATACAAACCATTCTTCAAATTTTTATTACCCAAACTTAATTATTTGAGGTAAATTATTCAAATAAACCATATTAAATAAAATCACTCATCATATTTTAACCAAATGAACCAGTTTTCACGGGAAATGAAAAAATTATCAATACAAACCATCAAATTTAATTAGATTTACCTGAGAATGGCATCTTGCATCTAATATGTAAGAGATGATGTAACCTTTTTAATCTTTCTTGTATACTGATTCATCTAATGAAATACCTGTTTGTTTAGGAGGCATGCTTACTCATCCATAGAGGACAATAATTAGAAATTGTGTTTTATTGTAATATACCTCATATGCCAAAGCAAAATAGTTTCATGACATTTTATTTACCATCATCATTCAACTATTGAACATAAGCATACACTGTTTAGTTTTTGATATACATTCAGAGTATATAGGACAAGAGGACATCTCCCTTGTAGTCACTGCAAATGTATGCAGCAAAATCACATGACCTTTAGGACCCTTTCATCCAGTTAGCTGATATATTTTTTCAATTTAATGAAATAGAGATAGAGTGATTTGTTTAAATTTTTTAAATTGTTAAGAACATTATCTTTTCAAATACAATTCCATCCAATCCTGTCAGTCTAAGTTTTTTTATTTTTCATCACTCAAACTTCTTTATTTGAGCCTATTTGAGAAAAAACAATTAAAACAAACCAGATTAGATTGAAATCAATCAATTTGTTTCCATTTCATATTAATTTTTTTTTTCTATAATTAACTGTGTCCATTTTGTGACAAACAATAATTAGATCTGAAATTATTATTCCCTACCAACTGATATATTTACATACAATGTATGGAAATGAGCTGCAAAAAGGTATTCATTACAAATATATTGAACACTCTTGTAATAGTAGTGATAGTCCTTGAACACATTCAAAAATAGATTTGACTATCATTCACACAAATTTCATAGGAACAACAGCAGAATTTGAATTTACAATTATTGAAAGTGAATAATTGAACATGTTGGATTACTTATTGAAATATCATAATTTTTGTTTGAGATGTTTTATGCTGAGAAGCAAGAAGCAAAAGATCTCTTTGAATATGGTGAATGCTGACATTTTCAAATTCTCAATTATTATTCTTTCATCATTTCATTACTTTTATAATATTTTGGAATACTCTCAGTATTTTTAGAATAAGATTTTCAATTACTCTTTGATTCTTTCATTACTCCCAAATATTTCAAAATATCTTGACCATAGATTTCTCAACTATCTACAAGAACCAAGTATATTGAAGAAAAATATGGTGTACACTTTAAGCAGATTAATTTACCCAACACTGAAAAGTTTATAATATTGAAACTTTGAATATGCAATTCAACAGAATTATGTAAAAAGTCTTCTTAGAAGATGTTATTTTCAATTAATCAATAATTTAATTCTATTGCTCTGTTTTTCTGGCATATGTTTCCTTATTACTCATTAAAAAAAAAGAAATCCAAGCTATACCACAAAATGAAACAACAGTCTTTTTCAACAGGTAGATATTATTATCTATTATCTTACCTTGGAACTGTGATTCCCATTCTCTCACTGAATCCATTTCCACAGTGCTCAGATCACTCAGATCATCATACTTTTCACCAGAGGCTGATACATTGAAAGTAGCCAAGCCCCTGGATGCATCTTTACCTCCAAAAGCTGCATATGGCCCCCCTAAAAAATACAAGAATTTAGTTGGGATTTTATAATATAGGTTAGGCTCAGTAAAATCTGAGATAACTTTATCAAGTCAATTGCCAATTGGATGATTGTACAAAGTGAATTGAATAGTTTTCTGAATGTAAACTAAAATACAATCATTGTAGCCATCAAAGTACTGTGCTACATTTGTTTTGATATGGCACCTTCTGCATTATCTGCAGCTGATTCAATCTTACATAATTTTGAATGGGTGTGATGATATGATGTATCTCATCCCAGTAGTTCTCATATTATGTAGATACTTCCTACTGAATACATGATAAAAAATATATGTAGAGTCCAATGTACAACTTGAGGATTTCAACTTCCAAAAACCACACCATCAATAACATCATTAAAGGTTTGTTAATCTGTGTCATTAGCTTGCACATTAGACTTGGTATGCAAACAAGTATGCACAAACAACATTCTGTGATGTTAATGTAATGACATCATCATGATCAGAACATTTTGTTTACCTGGTCCATAAAACCGTTTTCCTTTTGTCACATCATATACTTTCCCATTTACAGCCACCAGCACCCTACCATCTTCTTGAGTACCATCATATTGTTTCAGTTCTTCTACGGTAAAATCCCTTTTCTTCAATTTCGGAAGTTGAGGTGCCGGCGGAGGCACAGCGAAATCGTTTTGTCTACTCTTGATTATTTTGTAAACTAGGAACACTATCAGGAGCACTAGGGCGATGTTCACTGGGCTCTGGATTATTTCGAAGAACAAGTTCGTGAGGATACCTGACTTCAGCGTTTCTTCCGCCATATCGAGAAGAGAATAATAAATATAAATCTTCGATTAGAATACGCGCAGTGTGTGTAGACCAAGTATAGACAGATTCAGTTCGGATTCTAAAATAAAAATTCCAATTATTTTCGATTCTCTTGACGTTTTGACTCTCACTCGAGTATTGTTGACATTGTTGACAATGACAGTTACTTTTCAATGAAATTTGCTTTCATCTGTCAATAGTGTCATGGCGGAGTGACAGTTCGTAGTTGATACCAAATCCCAAAGATGCGCTAGTATCGTCGTAGTGTTCAATCAAATCTCAGAGTAAAGCTTTGTTTTCATGACAACGTTTTGCGTCGTGCGTCTTGCGTTGCCTCGTTCTGATTGGCTATTTCAAATGACGCAAATTCCATGAAATTTGTTATAATTTTCATTCATGCGTCCGCTTCCAGATTTTGACAGGTTGAATTTGAAACCATCTCGAATCAAATATTCGAAATTTATTATAGGTTTCCAATAATTATTGCCAGAAATGGTTGTAATTTGACAACTGCAGTGTTAAAATATTCATTTTCCATAAATATATACGAAATGGATGAACAAAATTGGCGAAGAGAAAAATACTAATTTTTTTGTATTTGAGAAGAAAAAAAACGTACCTACCGGAAAAAAAAACAATTTTTGGTGAGACCTATATTCCAAAATAGAAAAAGATTAGGAGCATTTCAAACCTTGATTAGAGAGCTTGCTGACCAGGACTCTGAATGCTATTTCAATTTCTTCAGGTACAATGGTATTCTATAGTAGTCAATACTCTTCCATATTTCAATAAACCATTAAAAACCCAAGTAAGTACACTGTGAATAGTCTGAATTTTATTAAATTCAAATTTTCTTGAATCTGTGCTCTTCCTGTTTTGGGTGATTGGGAACACCTAAAACATAACCTACAAGAGTAGAGGTTCTCTATCCCACATTTCTCGCGTTCGACGCAAAGAAGTTAAATATTTTTAACTTCATTTCTACTAAATAATGCGTCAGTCAAAATAGCCAATCAGAACGAGGCAACGCAAGACGCACGACGCGAAACGTTGTCATGAAAACAAAGCTTAAGGGTTTAGGCTTTGAGTCCGTTCGTTTGTGTTGCCGAACTTGCCAAAGTTGCTTTTGTTCCCATAGTTGTCTCTGTTCATGGCAAAATGTAAACAGAGAGAGTCATAGAAAAAATCAGCAGGCTAAGGTAAACAGAAACACAAACGAACGACGTGACGTGGTATCATTCGCGATAGAAAATAAGCGTACGCCACCTATAGGAGTTCTTGGAAGGTGTTATTTTCTATTGCGAATAGCGAATAGGTACAGTTTGCTGATGCAGTCAATTCGCGATAGAAAAACACACGGTTTGTTTTGATAAAATGTGAACCAATAAAAACAAAGTAAACAGGCCGCTTTGACAGCTTTCAAGAACTCCGATAGGTGGCGTACGCTTATTTTCTATCGCGAAGACAGAGATAAGAGTGGGCAGAGGAGTGGGTAACTTATCTCTGATGTGGATAAGAAAAAGAAGACACCTGTAATCTGTCCGCTTTATGATTTCCCTAGATCATGGCAGAGATAGGGTATATATAACTTATCTCTGATCATGGGGATTGCGGGTATCTGGAGTGGAGAACACTACATGAGGATCACAGTATACTTGAGTATACACCCTGTTCCTCTTCAGCGATAAAATTTTCGACATTGGAAGCCAGAATGATGGATGCAGTGTGTTCAACTCTCGCATTTTACTATTTTTTCCTGGAAATATTCGTCGATTGACATATTCTAGCTGGCTGTTCATTGATGGCATTGATGATCCAGAAGTGTTCGCCAAAGACTGGAAATTTTTGATAAACTCCATTCTCCAGCTTGCTGCTTTAATTTCGCTCATGACATGGTTCCGAGACTTCACGCCTACTGCTCTAAAGTTTCGATAAACAATGTCATTCGCGAAATTAGTAGGCAACAATGCTGTCATAACAATCTGCTGGTATTCAATATGATAATAATAATGATATATGAGTATATTTTGTCAGATTTAATTCACATATTCAGCGAGCACAAAATATGAAATCAATTTAAAGCTCTACCAAAGAAACACTTCCAGAGAAACCCTGATATTTCAACTAAGATGACCATTTCATTACATTTTTGGTTTTCTGATGATTTCGATTTACATGAAAAATATGGGGGCGGGCAGAGAAATATTGAATACAGGGTGTTTCAGAGTTGTGGTGACAAAAGCCTGGGGGAGATTCCTCTCAACAGTCCCAACAAAATAAGAACAAAGTTCATGTGAACATTTGGGCCCGAAAATGCAGCGTTTCCGAAATATATAGGCGGGTGTCCAAGTTCAAAAAAATTATCTTTTCATATCTTGAAAGAATATTTCTCACAAAATTTTGAGATCGAATAGATTTTAGAGTGGGTTCTTAATTTAATGTATTTTTTTTGTGCTCATAAATAATAATGTGCAATAAATTTTTGGATAATATATATCTAAGCATTTTTATTCTTCCTTATGGAGTTCAGAGATATGGCGTTTTCGTCGCAAACGAAGCAAGGTACGAAAAAATATCAAGAAACAGTATGTTGTACTTTTAGTGGGTTTGACTGGATATTCAAGAAGAACAAAAAAAGACACAGGGTGACTTTCATTTCTACAATAAAAGCCGATTTGCTCGATGGGTAACGTCCCTGGAAATTCTGAATCAAATCTAATTTATCCAGTTGTGAATAACCCATAAAAATTTCATTCAAATCGACTTAAGTGTTTTCAAGATATTAATAAAAAAGTCTTCTTTTTCAAACTTGGTCACCCTGTAAATAGGAAACGAAGCATTTTCAGGCCCATGTCCATATGAACTTATTTTCATATTTTCTCTTAAAGGCTTTTGTCACTACAACTCTGAAACATCCTGTATACAGTGCTTTCGAAGTACTGAATTAATTAATTTTTAGCCAAACTATCCATTTATGGAAAATCTCCTGCAACAGGTTGATTTTCAATTTCAATTTGACACATTTATAATATATATGTATATATACCAGAAAAATTGAATATACATCAGGAAACACCCTATATAATATTTTTGGAACCTTCATGAAAAGCTTAGTTCAAAAATATATCACACAAAGGGTTTCTATACTGAGCGTCCGTTAAATTAATTAGTTATACAGGGTGAGTTATGCCGTCCGCGACAATTTTTTCAAATGGAACACAATTTATTGATTTTTTTCAATATTCATGGAAGGCCGAATTCGAAACCATATTACACATAGGGTTTGCATACAGTTCGTTCATTATATTAATAAGTGATATCGTGCTTTTCAGAAGATTTGATTTGTTATTTCAGTCAGAATTTCAGATAATCCTTTTTTTTTACCTAACTTACAGTAGGTAGCTATAGCTCGTAGGGGTTGCATTTAAGGATGTTCATATGAAGAAAGAGTCTCATTTTGATACCAACGATAATACGTCCTCGAAATATAAACATCGAATTTTGAATTATCCTGTATTATCGAAATTTTGAAGGTATATTATGAAATGATTCTATTTGCCTTTCTTAACGTTTTTTCAGCAAATAATTATTTCAAGCTATTTTTTTTATAAATCGATTAAAATAAAATCATTATTGATGAAATTTTAGTGCATGAAAATAGAACCATGACAAGATAAAAATAAAATCCTGATTATTGTTTATGCAGTAATTTCATATGGGGTTATGACACACAGGTGGGGGGGTAAGACGCATAATTATACATCATTTCTACCTTTTCTATACGTTTCTCATTAGCAGCAGACCAGTCTTTAGTTTCCAGGTCAGTCTTATTTCTTGTACGCTGCTGTGAAAGTTACTCCTGAGTACAGTTCTTGAAGCATAATTCTTGGACTTTGCATGCACAGTACAAAATTATTCATCGCGGTTTTTTTCGACTATTCTGTGATGAAATTTAGCTGTTCTGTTATGAAAAGAAAGTGACTGAATATAGGTATTTGACGTCATGGTAAGTTCATTTCATTTCATTATACTAACTGATAGAAATATTACAATTATTTATTAGAATTCTGAGGTCAAAATAATGTGCATGAATGTGTCTCTTGTCTTAGTGACAGGGAGGTTCATTAAAAAAATCAAAAATTATTATGTTTCAACGTTTTTTTTCATTAATGCGGATTAAGGTTTCATTTCGGAGAATACGCAATACACAATGACTCAAAACACGGACATAATAATTAATATCCACACTAATATCAAAATAATTGTGTAGCTTCATGTTCAACTTCAAATATCTCGAAACTTAACGACTTCATCGTTATGAAGAAGTACGATATTCACGTAGAAAAGTGTTGGTGGAATTGTGGAATTTCTCGGGAAACTAATTCATAAACTTCTTGATAGCTTCTCATGATCAATAGGGTTTGATTTGTTTAGGTTACAAGAATGTAACTTCATGGAATCAAATAAAATGCTCAATAATTAAAAAGGCAGTTTAAATAAATACTCAGGAAGATTTAGTATAAACAACATGTAGATTTAGCGAGATTTAGCAACGTTGTAAATGGTATTTTTAGATCAGACTTGCTGAAAACTTCCTAATAAATTAATTTTTATTGTCATATCGCCACGATTTCTCGAAATATTGAAATTTTGTGATATTTTTTGACGAAACGTTCATTTGTCATACTAACAAAAATGAAGGGAATACAAATTTGATATTATAGGGTCATAGTAGTTTTGAGACGACAAATCGAATGCGCTAAAAATAAACATAGCATTACATATAAAAAAATAAAGTTGAGGGCTCTATGGGAAAAACTGTGAAACTGGCAACGTTGCAAATATTATTTTTAGATCCGGCACAACTGATTACCCTCGTTTACCAAATTTCATGATTTTATGTCAAGCCATTGCTGAAATATTCGGCCGTTCCGGTTCTTTTGGAAAACCCTGTATATTACATCGCTGTACACATAATTATTATACTCTATCA